CTTGTGTGACAAATTCTCCACATAAACAAACATACATAAGATAATGTACAATTCCAAATGACAGTGTTGTCAATATTTAAAATTCATTTAATTTATGATACCGTTATTCTGAAAATACCAAAAGCGAAGTGATTAGTGTTGATATTTTAATAATAAATAATGTTTAGCTTATACAAGTTCAGTTCTAACGAATTAATATATTTTAAAAAAACGAAGCTCTTCATATAATTCACACAAGATCCATTGAGACAAACAGTCAAATTTGGTGTAACTTAGTGTTGAGAATAGTGCTTGACAGGATATTAAGTTCATACTAAACTGAGACTATATGAACATATAAATATGATGCTTAGCCCGATTCACACAAAATGCAATTTCAATATTATCTATTTACAATTGGCACATCTATGCATGGGATTGTGTTTATTAAAGTCTTACCACAGATAGATTAATTCTTGTTTAATTTTTATTTAAACAATAATCTGTATCCATCACTGTAATTGTAAATGATTCTATAAACATAGATCACCAAGCAATAAAACATACACCCACCAGTAGCTGTGTCATCCCATCAGTTTAACAAAAAAGTAGAGCTACTTTACAGCTTTATACAATAGTAATTGTTTGTAATTTAAAACTTGTAAATGACTGGCATCTCCAGAAATGGCAGAAAGTCTGAGTTATAGGGTCAATTTGACAATAACTCCCGATCTATTAAGTTTTATTGTTATGCAAATTTGATACAAATTCAATAGGTCACTCAATAAATCGCAAGGTAGTATGTGACTAATTTTAGCAACTGTCATAACAAGATCTTGAAAACTGATCTGTAAAATGTAGTTCAGGTAACTAACAATCAAAGAAAGTTTTAAAAAATAATAATTAAAAAACCTGGTCTGTTACTGTAAGCTTACAAATACAATGACAACAGTCCATGAATGAACAGGGACGACAGCAATAATTTTTTGAGTGTATTAGAGCGGGAGCCCAAGGGGGTCAACCTAGCTGACAAGTGTACCAATTTTCTCCTATATGGTATCAATGCATGTATATCTGGTATCATCAGAATGCACGTCTGCTGAGTTGCTGATGGGCGTGGCATTTTGGGGCGTGTCTGTTAGGGGTAACCCACCGCACAAACTGTCTGGCAATGGTCATTCACGATTCTTGTGGTGGTACTGAACAACTCCAAAGCTGTTTTAGGTGGTACAGACTTCAGCTAATCTAGCCTAGCTATGGTCTGGAAATTAGATAACTCTTGTCAGGGATACTCCACCACTACAAATGTCTGGCAATTACATAGCTCTGTCAGGGGTAACCCAACACTAGAAATGTCTGACAGAGTGTTTTTGTAACACCTGAAGATGTACAGTACACTGCTGTATGATTTACACTTTTGAGCTAATCTATCTCAAGAATTCACACCCAGAATCACAACCCTCACAGCCACACCCACCATCAGAAACCCAGCAGTCTTACATTCTGATGATACCAGGGCCCGGTTTCTTGAAATCTTAACTAAAGATAAAATCCAAATTTTTGATACTTCAATTTTGATTGGTTAAGCACTAAAATCAATCTAATATTATCCAATCAAATTACTAAAATTTGAATTTTATCTTAGTTAAAATTTCGTGAAACAGTCCCCCGATATCCATTGATTAAAATTAGTACACTTTTCAGCTAGGTTTACCACTCTGAGCTCCTGGTCTATATGTGAATATAAACAAGGTTTGTAAAATGCTGATTTGACTATAACAGTTTAAAAGTTCACGATATAGTGTATAATATATTAATGTTTATTAACTGATTGTTTTTACATACATCCTCACATTTAACTTGCTGCAATATTCAACACATAATGCATTTTGGTTCTGGAACAACAGTTCACTTTTATGTCACCAGTTTCCACACTAATCACACTATTTTCCAAGCAAGACATGTTCACTTTCGACTCTTCAGCTTTAGATCATAAAGATTATTATCACATAATTCCCACTGTTTTTTTTCTTATTATCAAAGCATTCTAGAATCACCATCAACTAACCATGGCAAATACACTCATTACAAGTGTCTAATTATGATTCAAATCTACAGCAGTTTCGTTGATGTTTACAACAAACATGATGATAATGGTGTAAAGAAGGAATGCTCTTGAATTTTTCCGCTGCCACGGTTCAATCATGGTGGGAATATTGGTAGGTATTTTTTATTTTAATTAAAAATATTTAAAAATTAATAATTTATTTCCTTATATGTTTTGAGGAGCCTGCTCGCTGATTGTCCCCATCGCGCGACGCACTTCCTCTACGTAGAGCAGAGTTCATTGTATTCGACATCATGGCCTGTGTGGTTTGACTTGTTGGAATACGGGATGGATCTCTTTGCTGTTCAGTTGTTGTAGGCATACCTCGATGAAGTCTGGTACTTGTTCGTCTTTCCCGTTCTCTCGATACAGGACGTGGAGATGTACCTGTAATATTTCAACAAATTATTCAATATTATGACGTATACTAAACTAATGCTCTTAAAAAATGTCATCTAAACAGATTCCGATGATGTGAAATAAAGAAATCAAGTAAATTATAGGGTCCCTTCCAACTACCAAACGAAAATAAACAAAACTTAACACAGTAAGATGAAATACAGTAAAGTGTAAAATCACTACCAGGCTTACTACAGATAAGATGGAGCAAGAAATATGTCTATGTTATGTATAATCCTCAATTTTATATGGTAATGAATAAGCTACAGGGAGTAGGTTATCAGAGACTGAGCACAATTATGGTTGGTTGTTTTATTTGTGATGTAGTGCTCCTGCATTTACTAGACCTGTGCTTCTAAAAAAGCTAGAACAGAATTAAGAGATTAATTGCCAAAATTGCAACCCACCAATGGATCAATTGACCTATGTTGTCATATAGTTAAGTAGCACCCCTGAACAGTGTGAGTTTGTGGGAGCGGAGCAGTAGTTCTAGTAGTTGGGGCAATAATGTTCCAGAAAAAAGATGGGATGTGACCTTTGATAACATATTTCATTTCCATACTTTTTGTTTCATATACATAGTGGGATTACCACAGGGTCTGCTGTCTTCCAATAGTTTTTTGCTCACTTTGAACAATTTACAACTAACAGGGAAGTATTATTATAATAATGTACTAATAAAATGTTTAATTTGACTGTATTCAACTTCACTTTGTTCCATTCCTTTTGTACCTGTAGTGCGAAGGGATCCCTAAATGTGTGTGCTATTATGTGAAGATATGTTTAAAGTTTCTGCATGCATGTTCTCTGATCAATGCTTTACTAAGATTGTGTTGAGCGTTTTTGCTTACAGTTACCCTTGATTGAGTTCATTTTATGTATTGTAAAGTGTCTTATGAATGCTTTTAATAAATGATGGTACAATTACTATGGACTAATACAGTCAGTATAAAATTAAACTTCGGATGAATCGCAGTGCAGTTTATACATTTAGCAACTGTTTTTGTGGCCAGTAGACTCATTATACATGTACCTTAGGTCTATGAGGAGGGCGGTTCAAGTGACGTTAACATCTCGTATAACATCTTGTCAATACAAGACTTCAGTCAATGTGACCAACATATTGTAACTTTTATTCTATGGTAAGGTATGAAAGCAGAATTAGGTTAGCATTCAATGTCTGGTAGCAATGTTTTGAATAAATCTTGTGCTCAAAGGAGATGCCCGTTTTTCATTTTTTTAATACTTGGCAATCTACTTGAAATTTGTGTACTTATTCTAGACAAAGAAGCTTCTATCCTTGGTAAATCTTTAAGACAAGGGTTAATGTAATTACATCATTTTTGGAAGTTACCTTGCAATTGCATACCTACATCTTTAACTTACATAATATATTGTTGGGAGTAGCTTAATCATTCTGGTGCAAAGGACTAAACACAATTCTGTCCTATGCAAAAAGTTGCACTGATTTTGTAATGACACCAATACCACACTTTCTGACTGAACGGCTCAGGAACCCTAGGTCACCAGAATGGCTTCTTTTAAAAATATTTTTTTCTTTTTAGAAATTTTGACTCAGGTAGGTGATGATGACATACATTTTCTGTCTATTTTATTTTTATACAGTTCTGTATAAAATGTTTATTCAATCATCAAGATGTTCAAATTATATACAATATTTGACATTCATAATATTTTACAATATTGTACTGAGATGAATATTGCAATGTCAATGAATGAAATGTGGTAATACATGTATTTAAATAACAGCCAATATTGTTCATCTTATAATATTCAAATCTCCACGATACAAAAGATCAATAGAACATTTCACCTAAACCAGCAAGTACCCATATTTTCATTGTAACTAAATGTAATGATAAAATGTGAAAGATAAGTTGCCAGGCAACAAAACATTTGTCTGCAGCAGTTAAGTCATCCGAAACATTGAAAATTGAATCAAATATTATTCTGTCACCGAAACTTGCTATTGAAACAAAAATTCCTTGCCTCAAATCTCTGATATAAATCCTGTGATAGGCACATTTTGTACCCACATAAATACTTGTGACTACATTACATTCGATAATACTTATCAATTTTGTGAAGAAAATCCAGGAATCATTTTTATCCTACCAAATAGCATGTCAACTATGACAATATAAATTTCAAGTCAATCGGACAATAACAATTGCGTACTGAAGATCAGACAAGACAGGAATGACGACAATATATACACTAAATTAAAATGCTGAAATGATATGGAAAGTTAGACATGGTTTTGTTGTATTGCTACAAATATTTATTTCATATAGCAATTATGATGCTTTGAAAAATTCTTAATATACAATTAGAGCCACAAAGCCACCAAATGTCACTTGGTTTCCAAGAATTGAAATAAAACAAGAATTTTCCATAAAAAGTATCGAAATGAAATGTCCCATTAATTTGGCATCTACATATACAAGGAGAATAGTGCCAGGAAATACCATATAGTAATTACAAAGAATTGATATATCATTATTACTCTTTATTTTTCAACATGGACCCCAAAAAATATCTGGTGTTCTCTCTCTTGTGGGAAAAATTCTTTGCACTATGCATTATACCTGAAGCACAAATGCATAGTTTACATATAAAATACAATTAAATTGTTTGGCCACTTATTCAAAACAACATATCAGTTTAAAATACTCAAATCTATCAATGCTAAATATTTTGGTAAAGATATAATTAATGGCCATTATCATATAAATTGAAAGATGTTTTTCTTGTCTTCAAGATTATTTAAGTATGCAGTCAATATTACAGGGACAATAGAGCAGTTACCACAAATATTTTAAAATTTAAATATCCTTTAACACATGTATTTTTGATATTTCATTTCAGTAAGCGGATGAATTATTGGACTATAAGTGTCTGAAGAGAAAGGGGTTTTATTGTTTTGTTCTTTTTTTCCTTTTTTTTTTGGTGGGGGGGGGGGGGAGAGAGAGAGAGAGAATCATGCTTACTTAAACCTTAGTAACATTGTGCATATACAACAATACCAGACAAATCCACCAATACATATTTTACATGAATTTTCATGTTTTTTTCATAAAATTTCATTAATTTATGATTTATATATTTAAATTTATCTATATACACATTATATAATATTAATTTCAAAAGGTTTTGGCATATTGATACTACTGACCAGTATATTTTTAACCTATACACTAGTACAGGGATGTGCCTACTATTAAAGTTACCGGGCAGCACCGCCAAACACAAATATTTTCCGACTGGGAAAAATATCTTGAAGCAGGTTTTCGTCCATTATTTTTTTGTAAACAAAGATTATTTAAAATGGAAAAAAAGCGTCTTTATTTGTTCCTTTTAATCTCATAAATTGAATAAATCATCTTGACTCATGTCAAACGGACCTATAACATAGACATCTAACACAGATATGTAGACTTTTTTAACCAGTCATATCAGTGCCATTTAACTAGCATGAGAGGTTAAAAAAGTCTAGTTTGTTTACTGGCACTGCACCATTGTAGTTCAGCATTATATTTTTAATGTAATACAATTAATAAAAGGTCTTTAAAATATCAATTTGCTGATTAAGAGGGGCATGTCTGCCATCCATCAAACATACTCATCATAATGTTTGCATTTGGAAGAGTTTGGCTAGTAAAAAAGGTTGATCTCTCTGGCAGTGCCACCATTTTGTATGGTGATTAAAAACATGTTCAGAAATCAGAGAGAGAGAAATGGGGTTTAATGTCCACTTGACACAAACTACATGTAGGTCAGTTCAGGACTAACACATGGTTCAATTTTATTACAATAATTTGCTTGCACGTAGGGGTCTTCAACAGTGGGAGGAAACCCGAAATCAGACTGAAGATATGGTAAAGCTTAGCTCTGTAATTTTTATCCATAGTATGGATTTTCTCAACAAAAAACAGGCAAATCAATTTCCACTTATTATAAATTACCAGAGATTTCATAAAAAGTTTATTTACGAAAAAGGCAAAACTGCGCCACAATGTCACGAAATTGCACTTTTTCAATCTGCCCCCCCCCCCAAAAAAATAACCCCCCAAAAACCCTGATAATTTTCTCCCAAGGGACCAACTCCCCTTGCTTTTAAGAAGGGAGCTTCTGTCCTCCTCATGCATCCCCTGCCTAAGATTATCAATCAGCATAAATATTTTTCTGGGCACATCCCTGCTACTAGGATACAATTACAGGTGCAAATAATTGTAAACCTTAACATTTGTAAACAACAATTTTATAAGTAATTGATGATCTTCAACCTAAAAATTTACTTTAAAATACTAACTTGTTTCACCATAATGAAATGATTAATCACACTAAAATACTAATCCAGTAACATGAAGAAACACTCTCAAAGATGCTATGATAGGCATTTGAAACATGATACTTAAACATCTTAATAAATGATCTTTAGATCAAGATCTATTCTAAATATTAGGAATTTAAGCTATTTCTTTAAAATCATAATTAATTGGATACTATATGCAATAAAGCCTAAATTTAAATTGGTATTTTCCTGTTAATAAATACATTTTAATTACAAAACAAACTTTAAAACTGCCATAACTCAATCAACCTATATTTACAATTACACCTATAAAATAACAGTAATATAATGATTTCCATATTTATAATACAAGTCACACAACATAAACATTACTTACTGTACATACAATGTACTGTTAATAATTCAATTTGTAACATCAACAAAATAAGTGTAAACAAGATATTTTTACTAGTAGTTTGAATCTACCTACGAATACATGTATGATACTACAAACTGCTATTTGAATAATTTTTCAAATTGAGGAAATTACAAATATGTAGCAACCAGTAAAAATATCCTGTTCTGTAAAACAAAAGTATCAAGAATGGGAAATATAGAGTAATTTTTCTTTAATGTTATTTACTTTTAAGTTCAGGCCATCTTTAAAAATATTTGTTTCCCAATCCAACTTACATTTTGGATCATCATAACTGCTACCAATTGGTGGGCAACAGTTGACATGACCTTTTCTGCTCTTATTTATTGTTGATAATCTCACATTAAATCTATTTCACGATATATTACTAAACAAATTACAACTGTATATTAAACTTAAAATTGATGGCCTGCTCACTATTGGTCATTGCACTGAATAATCATTTCCTTCACTTTGAGGCTGGGTACTCTATTGAGAAACACAGTTATAGTTCTGTTTGCATTAATCACACTTAGCAGACAGACAGGTACATGTAGGTTTCTGTAGCATCAATAGAGTTATCAAGGAAAAGGCGATGGAAACGGCATCATCTTCCTATCGATACTTAACGTATATTGTAAATTAGATGATTTAATTTTGGAATAAAGTCATCGCGAAGTTGATAACTTACCTTTGAACACATTCAATAAAGATAATGAAATCACTTAAATCAAGATTGAATTTTTTTTTTTTTTAATTATTTTCTAATTTAAAGCTTCAAAATCAATTTGTAAAATATGTGAGGCTGTAGTTGGCAGTAGCACTATTTGACATAAATTATCACAAATTAAAACGATCCATACCTTAGGGACTAAATTCACGACTTCAATTATAATTTTATGAAAACACACCATGACAAACAACTGATTACAAATTTTATAATATAATGAAATTCATGTTTACTAGAACAAATGATACACATTAATGAATGTTTTATAATATAAAAGAAAATAATAAAACAAAACATAACAGTACCTGATTGCAGAGCTTAAAACAAAACCATATACTTCACAGTATATATAATATTAAAACATTGTTCATATACACAATTGCTGTATAATGTCACATTCGAACCAAATAAATTGGATATTTATTAGACTTCAACTGGGTTTTTCCCCCATTGCATTGCACTAGAAACACAAAATACGTCTGTCTAGATTTAATCAGCCTCACATCAACTAAATTTACACTTCCGTCTGATTATAATAATGCCGTAAATACTTGTTTGCGTTTATCTTATTACCATAATATTCTGTTGGAGCAATATATTATCATAAACAGTCGCAGTTAATAAATAGAGTAATTTTAGGAAACACTTGTTAAAATTATCAATTCACTAATTGCCAATTAAGTTCATGTTTGACGTTGTTTAGTTGACAATCCTCTACTATCACCGGCAACACGTCTTAGTTTCGAGCCATCTGCACTACTACCTATAGGTACTGGGAGCCCTGAACCCTTCATACTTAACCTACCACCAGAAGATGGTGTGGCTAGTCTCTCACTCACTCTACTCTCTGTCACACCTTCTTGAGAGCCTGAACCTTTGGTAGCTAGGGACAGCCGTGCTGGGAGTCTCTCTTTCAGCCGAGAGGAGAGGCCTCGCATGTCTGAGAGCAGAAAGAAAAACAAACAGTTGATAAAGAGCAAGAGTGATGCCATGACTGAATCAATGTGAATTTAGATGATGTAATGACTTGTGCATATTACTAAACAAGACCATCATGCAATCAACAACAATCTAATCTAGGTACTAATAATGTACAAACTGAAACCGAGTAAATTAAATACAGAAATGGGGAATGCAAAATGAGGATGGTGATGAAATAAATATAAGTTGCAAAACTGACATTAGTGACAAGACAAAGAAAATGAATTAATATGTAAGCAGTGGCCTAAGACCCAAATAAATCGAGCTTGAAAGTTCATGTAAATGAGCGACTATTTAAATTTTAAATTGTTCCATACCGTAAGTACATCTAATCAAAAGATGGTTTAATATATTTCTTTCATTTTTATTTTTAAAATAAAAATATTTAAGGTAATTACTATGAATTCAATAATTATTTGTTAAAAAAACAAGCTGTAACTTTATCAAGACATTTGATAAATTACTAAACAAAAAAAAATAATTCTCTTCAATGAAACACATGTATATTGTAAGCTTTTAAAAGTACACAAACTTATTTAATTGCACTATAAGCAGTTTCTGATATTAGACATAAAAGAGAATATTTCACTTTCTAAAAGCTTCAGTGTGATTATTCCTTCACTGATTAGCATGCTTGTAGGGGTGGGGTGGGGGGTGCTGGTGTTATCTTTGTTAATGATCTCAAATCAATGAACGTCTTCATTAATCAAATATCATCCAGAATATTGTAAATGATTTTCCATCATGCATTTATTTAACATAATTTTTGACACCCAAGTACACAAAGTTCTATATCAAGTGACAAACATTTGCACCAGTCTGCACACAGAGAACTTTCTACTCTAATTCGAGAATACATGTAGATATCTGTCCTAAATGGCCGCCATATCCAACAATGTGTATACTGTTTTGTATTGCATTCCTACTCCAGTTCCCATCTGTTATACACAAAAAGACTAAATCTTTTTAATTTTATTAAATGAAAGCAGAATATAAACTTATTCAAAATTCTCAAAATATACTTAAAAGTGTTTTCGACTAAAATCGTCGATTTAGGACTTAAAATGTCAGTCAACTAGCTAAGTGTCAGTTCTCAAGCAGAGCTAATTGTAGACAAACAGCGTAAGTTTAGTATGAGATTTGCACCGTAATGCTATGTTTATGCTAATTTGGATTCTAGCTAATCATTTATAATGTTGAGCCACCATGAAACAATTTATTTTCAAGCAGGTTTTTTTTTTTAATGCAGAATAAGAAAGAAAACATGCAAAAATAGAAAGAGACATGCTCCAGCAGTAAGAAATGAATAAATATTTATAGAAAATTAATCCCAGTACCAATATATCTTTTTAAAGTGCATTAATGAAGCTGTTGAATAAGACCTGTTGCCAGTATCGGTAATAGTATTATGATGACTGTTTCCATGTCAACAATATAAAGTCAAAATCAAGTAGTAGTCAGTCATCATTGTCTTGTTCTATTGAAAGATAGGTTGCCAGGCAACAAAACACACGCCCACAGCAGCTAAATTGTCCGGGCAGTCAACAAGAGCTGTCGCATGTTTTTACTTTGGTCGGTAATGAAACATTTATAACACACTAAAATCTGATTAAGAACAACAACTCATTAAGTAATTATCAGAAAATCATTAGAATTTGTTTGGCCCATGCTAACGATTAGTATACACAAATTTAACATCATACTTGTTCGTTTCAAGATCTTAAACTCTGTGTATCAATCTAAAGGTCTCTCAAGCATCCACAAGATATTTCAAAGCATCCACAAGATATATCAAAGTGATCAAGGGCCATAACTGAGGCAGTAATAATCGGAAATCGTTGAAATTCAATAGGCTTCTTCGTTTGATGATCTTTTAAAAAACACTGCATATAATATAAATTTAAAGTCAATCAGAAATTAACTATAGCCTCTAGAGCGTCCACAAGATTTTTCAAAGTGATCAAGGGCCATAACTCGGGCAGTAATTATTGAAAATTGATGAAAATCAATAGGCTTCTTCGTCTCATGAGCTTAAACACTGTGCATAAATTTAAAGTCAATCGGATATAAACTTTAGCTTCTAGAGCATCCACAAGATTTTTCAAAGTGATCAAGGGCCATAAATCTGGCAGTAATTATCAGAAACCGGTGGAAATAAATAGGCTTCTTCATCTCAAGACCTTAAATACTGTATATAAATTTTAAGTCAATAGGATATTAACTTTAGCCTTGATAGCATCCACAAGACTTTTCAAAGTGATAAAGGGCCATAACTCTGGCAGTGATTCTTGGAAATTGGTGAAAATCAATAGGATTCTTCATTTCATGACCTTACACTGTGTATAAAGTTTGAAATCAATCGGATGGCAACTTTAGCCTCCAGAGTCCCCACAAGTAATTGTGGAAGTCGGACAGAAGTACGGGGGCGACGACAATATATGACCACATTTCAATGTGGGGGTGTAAAAATCAAATAAAACTTTGACAATGGTTAGAACAGATGGTTTATGTGTAAGTATACTGAAAGTAAAGTGCTCTCTTCTGTTCTAACTCTAAGGACTTCACGATTCCAAAAGATGCATAAAGCAGGAATATTTGTCTGTTTTGCAATACAGTTGGTGTGCTTATTGTCTTTTTATATCAAAGAATGGACATGTTTAATATTTAATGGCGAGTACACACCAGTTATCTGAAACACTACCCAATTCATGGTACACACAATTATTTACAGATTTAAACTTTACAACTTCGATTAGTCAACTGTAAGTAAAATATTTGTTCCAAATAAACTTCAAATTCAATTTAACTGAGCTACAAAACTTCCACATCACTTAAAAATAAAGGTCCTTCTAATGCACAAGTAGCCATCAGTCATCTCTTTAGCAACACACACGAGTCAATGCAAATAGAAATGTGTCAATGTGAACATGACATTAGCAATATTTGAATCAGAGCTTACAATATTGAATCAGAGCTTACAATATTGAATCAGAATCTCAAAATATAAATTTTTGTTACTTGTTAAAATAACTCTTTAACCCAATGACCCACGCTTTTAAGAGGGCAACGAAACAGAATGTTGTTTTACAATTACTTTCCAATACATTTTAATGCAGGAAAAAAAATTATATATTTCCATAAATTTGATTAGTTAGCACTAATTTGCAATCAAGCAAACCACCAGTGTATTACATATTTTAAATTGCAACCCCACTAAATTCTCACAGGTTCTCTTATTCCATGTTTAAATCTTATAAATGATATTGACTCTAAATTGCACATGGCTAAGTACTAAAAAGGATTTGGGAAAACATTACCATATCACTGGTCATTAAGAGAAGCAAATTAATATTTCTGTTCATAATTTGTCTGACATGTTGAGGATTTGATTGCTCAAGTGGTATTAAGTAATAAGATATGTCCCCATGTGATGTGTTGAATGCAAAATCCTGTTAATCCGCTAAGCAAATAATAACCTGATAGACAGATGTATATTGTTAGTGCAGTGGCTTAAATTGATTGATCAGAGAACACATTTCATACAATGCTTCTAAATATAACTTTATTTTATGATTTCTTTTACAAATTAATGACTATTTGATAAGTTAATTATGTTGTAAGATACACAAAAGTGAATGAAGTAGATTGCTGTGTTTTTTGTTTATTGGTATTAAATAGATGCTACAAAAGATGATAAAATATATATATATATATAAGAGAAGCATACGGGAGAAATCATGTAAAAATAGTCACTGAAAAGACTACATAAAACATAATAAAACAAACTATATATTCTACTACAATGTGATCAAATGAATTTATGAAGAGAAAAAATGTGTGTGCATGCATCTACATGTATGAAGAATGAACAATGACATACTTGCTAAATTCGGAAAGGCACAAGGTACTGATACCCTTAAATTTTATTTTTTACTAAAGAAAATTGGCTATGGGGATCCATTCATGAATAATAGGAAAGGTTTGCTTATTATAAGATAGAGATGGGGTTTACTGTTCAGTCTATGCAAACCAGGTCATTTCGGGACTTAAACATGGTTCAATTTTATTTCAATAATTCACATGGGAAGAGAGAACCAGTGGACCTCAATTTCATTTCAATAATTTGCTTGCGTGTAGGGGTCTTTTAGTCTTTAGCAGTGAGAGGACTCGAGATTGGACAGTCGACCCTACTATTTTCATGTACAAGCTGGGAATTGAAATCATCCCACTCGACTCTTTGACAAAACTTTATGATCTAAAGAGCATGCCTTTGACCATTCAGTCATGCAACCCCCCTTGCTCATTTTCAAAATTCTGAGGTTAACTGAAGACAAATTAACACCTCAATAATTTAATGAAATGAACTGAAATGGGGTTTAACCTCCTACTTTTCTGCTCGATCTGAGCTATTGAAGACTGACATATGCAGTGTGCTATAAGGAGAATTTTTTTTCGGACAGCGGCACTGCAGCCTACGCATATTTTGAATTTAAACTGTCAAAGATTTCTTTTCGGAAATGAAATGAAATAGGGTTTAACGTCCTAATCTTGTGCTGAATATGTATGCTTTCCGTCATTCGACATCAATAACCGAACCCATCAACATTACTGTTACATTTAATTCATAAGTGTTAGACAATGGTCTTCAATGAAGCCTTGTGCCTTCCTAAAGTATGATAAATCTAAGGGATGTTTAGTTGTAGGAGTACTTACTATTAAAATCTGCAGACATCTGACCCCCAGGATTTAACCCAATTGGTTCACCGCGCATTCGTCCTATGCCTCCTGGCGTTCCCTGTAATGCTCGAGCTGTAGAACTCATTTTACGGTCTCGTTCGGTTTCCTCAGCACTCCGACCCCCCTGAAAAATAATTATATTACCATTAACAATATAGAAATGAAATGTTACAATCAATACAAAGTTCTACTACTAATACATTTACATATGGTCTAAATGAAACTAATTAAAAGTTGTTCAAAAGATTCTATGTGGTCATATTTTCTTTTTGTCTATATCATTATCAAGTTATACTGCTTGACATACAAAACTTTTATAATTATTATAATAAATTAAATAAATTAATCATACAAATTTCAGCATATTCCAGTCAAAGACATAATCATATGTGAAGCCCTGACGATGGAAGAGGTTTCGGAACAACTGTCGAAGATAGGAATAATCAGGTTTATCATCAAAACGTAGAGATCGACAAAAATTTAGGTAAGTAGCAAATTCAGCTGAAAACAGGAACATTTCAATAGATAATTTGTAACACACAACATTCTAGTACAATTCTACAATACAAAAAATTTGCCCACCAACACATTAATCCTAACTAAATTCAATCATAATTTTACTTGTTTCATTTGATTATTCCCAAAATAAATAGATGCACATAATCTTTTATAAAGCACTGAGCGTCTGAGCAATCAAATTGTTTATCTCTCTGCACCTAAACAGAAAACAATTATTGTCCATCTCAGTCAAGACATTTAGATGACTTATACTAAGGTCATATAAAAAAACATTCTGGTTCTCAGATAATCCAGCGTCACTTCAAACCAGCGGCAGCCAGGCAAGATACACCCACATTTTGCAAAAGATGGATAGAGAACAAGCTAAAAACAAAAATGCAATTTTTCGTACAATCAGGGGTCATGATCCAGAAAGTTATGGTCTGATGTGCAAATATCAAAAAGAACCAAGACCTTTGGATTATAATCATACATTTCAAGTTTCATCAAAATCGGATAAAAATTGTGACTTCTACTTCTAGAGTGTCAACAACCTTCGTATTACATACTTTTATACTATTTGGATACAAGGAGTGGTCCTTTTGTCAAGCAGTTTGGTCCAATTTTTACAAAATTGGAACTTAAACGTCATTAGGGTGTAACAGAGATAAATTTAAACCTTTTTTTAAAATTGGATAAAAATTGTGACCTCTAGTGGCTCCACTTAAAGATAGGTTGCCAGGCAACGAAACATACGCCCACAACAGCTAAATCGTCCAGGCAGTCAACAAGAGCTGTTGCATATTTTTACTTTTTTCAGTAATGAAACATTTATAATACACTAAAAGCTGATTAAGAGCAACAACTCATGAAGTAATTATCAGAAAACCATTAGAATTTGTTTGTTTTTATAAAGTTCTGCCCCATGCTAACGTTTTGTATACAAAACTTTTAATATCATGGATTTAGCTGTTCAAGACATAAAAATTCATTGAAAATCAATATACTTGATCGCCTCAAGATCTTAAACTCTGTATCAATCCGAAGACAATCGGATGATAACTTTAGCCTTTAGAGCGTCACAAAGTGATCAAGGGCCGTAACTTTGGCAGTAATTATCGGAATCATTGAAAATCAATAGCATTCTTTGTCTTATGACCTTAAACACTGTGTATAAATTGAAAGTCAATTGGATATTAACTTTGGCCTTTAGAGCGTCCACAAGATTTTTTGAAGTGATCAAGAGCCATAACTCTGGCAGTAATTATTGAAAATCAATAGGATTCTTCGTCTCATGACCTTAAACACTGTGTATAAATTTAAAGTCAATCGGATATTAACTTTGGCCTATAGAGCGTCCACAAGATTTTTCAAAGTGATCAAGGGCCATAACTCTGACAGTAATTATCGGAAATCAGTGAAAATCAATAGGCTTCTTCGTCTCATGACCTTAAACACTGTGTATAAATTTAAAGTCAATCGGATATTAACTTAGGCCTCTAGAGCATCCACAAGATTTTTCAAAGTGATCAAGGCCCATAACTCTGGCAGTAATAATCGGAAATCGCTGAAAATCAATAGGCTTCTTTGTCTCATGACCTTAAACACTGTGTATAAATTTAAAGTTAATCGGATATTAACTTAGGCCTCTAGAGCATCCACAAGATTTTTCAAAGTGATCAAGGCCCATAACTCTGGCAGTAATAATCGGAAATCGCTGAAAATCAATAGGCTTCTTTGTCTCATGACCTTAAACACTGTGTATAAATTTAAAGTTAATCGGATATTAACTTTGGCCTAGAGCGTCCACAAGATTTTTTGAAGTGATCAAGGGCCATAACTCTGGCAGTAATTATCGGAAATCGCTGAAAATCAATAGGCTTCTTCGTCTCATTACCTTAAACAATGTGTATAAATTTTAGGTCAATCGGATATTAACTTTGGCCTCTAGAGCGTCCACAAGATTTTTACAAAGTGATCAAGGGCCATAACTCTGGCAATAATTATCGGAAATCGCTGAAAATCAATAGGCTTCTTCGTCTCAAGACCTTAAACACTGTGTATAAATTTAAATTCAATCAGATATTAACTTTGGCCTCTAGAGCGTCCACATGCAATTGTGGACGCTGGATCGACGGACGGACGGGGGCAACGACAATATACGGCCACATTTCAATGTGGGCGTACAAAAATGCGATTTTTCGAACAATCAGGGGCCATAATCCATGAAGTTACGTTCGGAATATGCACGATTATAGAAAGGAACCAAGAACTTTGTGATATAAAGATAAAAATTTCATCAAAATCGATCAAAATTGTCGTCTCTAGAGGGTCCACAAAATACCACATAAGTACACTATATATGCGTACGAGGGGCGGCCATTTTGACCGGCCTCAACCATCATTAGGTCGTAACAGTGATATATTCAAATGGTGTTTTAAATCGGATAAAAATTATGACCTCTAGAGGGACTACAAGCTAAAAACACAATTTTATCATTTCAAGTTTTGTTCTCGGTTCATTTGAACTATTTAGTTTACAATATTTACAATAAATACAAGACAATACACTCTTTGCACGTGACCTGGCGTTAAGATTATGATTACACAATGTTACTAATTTAGAAATAACAGAATAAAGTAGAATAGAAGGTGTCTATTAATTGGGCATTAAAGAAATAATTTCGGGCTTGCAAAGTATAATTTTTATAATTGGTTAATTTAACTGAAAACCAAAGTGCATTGACTGACTTACAACTTCGTGGGGTGACAGTTACAGGGATTTTTTTTTTTAAAGTTTATTCCGAAAAATACGGTACACAACCCTGTTAACTAAGGGTGTGACGATTAGTCGGTTTAGACGGAGTCGGTTCGGTTTTACCTACAAACCGGTTCCAGTTTCGGGAAATCGATAGTCGTCTAAAAAATACAGCATGATATAAACCAGTTACCCGAATATTATAACATGTTTTTTTTTTAAAAAAAGATACATGCATTAACGATCGACAATTATGGGGGCGAATAAGCAATAAGCTACATCATTGATGAATGGTCGACAATACAATAATAATAATGAGACAGTATACTATATTCCGTAATCGGTCGTGGATATTCTCGCGATTACAAGCGAGAGTGTTTTTGCATACCTAATGAAGTTATTTTAAGAATACGTTATTTGATTGGTCGGTCGATAAGGTCAATGGTTGAAGTGCCCAATCAGAAACAAGCAATCCTCCAGGTTAGGTCAATAGGCATGCGCACTGAGCTGATGCCCAGATACGCTTTCTCGTCGGTTTATCACTAATATTATTGATCAATATGTCATTGTTTGAAGTTTTTTTATATGTTGTATTTATTACTTTTATTAAAAAGATTAAACAGGAGATTTGAACAAACTACATAGTACAAACAAAACCAAATTTTTTAATGTACTGGACACATAAAACATAGAACAGTATGTATGTCGCCATTACAGTTTTAAGCTCCATATATAAAGGCCAGTATATTAGCGTGTATTGTAGACTATGGAAGACTAATATTTTTCAGTTAGTTTTCATTACCGACTAAACCGAATCGGTTCGGTTTTTTAGCCGCCGACTAACCGGTTCAAGTTTTTCTTAGTCGTCACACCCTTACTGTTAACAATAATAAATGATACTAGATAAATATACATTCCTATAAACAACAATTTGACGTGCTTAGCGAAAAAACGGCAGTGATCCTTTGACAAAATAAAAAAGATAGGTTGCCAGGCAACAAAACATACGCCCACAGCAGCTAAATCGTTCGGGCAGTCAACAAGAGTTGTCGCATATTTTTTACTTTTTTCGGTAATGAAACATTTATAATACACTAAAATCTGATTAAGAGCAACAACTCAGAAGACCATCAGAATTTGTTTGGTTTTTATAAAGTTCTGCCCCATGCTAACGTTTTTTATACAAAACTTTTAATACTGTATCATGGATTTAGCTGTTCCAAGTCATAAAAATTCATTGAAAATCAATATACTTGTTCGGCTCAATATCTTAAACTCTGTGTATCAATCTGAAGTCAATCGGATATTAACTTTGGCCTCTAGAGCATCCACAAGATTTTTCAAAGTGATCAAGGGCCATAACTTTGGCAGTAATTATCAGAAATCTTTGAAAATCAATACGATTCTTCGCCTCGTGACCTCAAACACTGTGTATAAATTTAAAGTCGATGAGATTAACTTTAGCCTTTAGAGCATCCACAAGGTTTTTTGAAGTGATCAAGGGCCGTAACTCTGGCAGTAATTATCGAAAATCACTGAAAATGAATAGACTTCTTCGTCTCATGACCTTAAACACTGTGTATAAATTTAAAGTCAATCGGATATTAACTTTAGACTCTAGAGCGTCCACAAGATTTTTCAAAGTGATCAAGGGCCATAACTCTGGCAGTAATTATCGGAAATCGCTGAAAATCAATAGGATTCTTCGTCTCATGACCTTAAACACTGTGTATAAATTTAAAGTCAATCGGATATTAACTTTGGCCTCTAGAGCGTCCACAAGATTTTTTGAAGTGATCAAGGGCCATAACTCTGGCAGTAATTATCGGAAATCGCTGAAAATCAATAGGCTTCTTCGTCTCATGGCCTTAAACACTGTATATAAATTTAAAGTCAATCGGATATAACTTTAGCCTCTAGAGCGTCCACAAGCAATTGTGGGCGTATAACAATAAAAACCTCCAGTCCCACATCAGATTTTTGATAAGGATTGTCTGAGAACCAGAATGTTTTTTTTAGTATGTTCTACACCATACAGAAGCAGAGATATAAGAGTTGCAATAGGTGTGATGGACAGGGGTTGAACACTACCTCAATTAGAAGCATAGTTATTGTGGACAGACGACAGCTGTTTAGCTTATTAACCCTTTCTGAGCTAATCCCGACGGGATAATTTTATAGTCTGTCAGAGCGGCACCCGACGATAGTCGGGAACTTTATTTAATTTGGTTTACTCCCCTGTAAAAGCATGGTTTTAACCTTAGATGGTGTATAACACGAGTTTTTATTACGAGGGGGTTTCCCCTATTGACGGAACAACCATCAATAGTCAGAACAGCCGAGGAATGGCGTCCTTCACAACAAAAAGACTTCGGCTGAATCCCGATGCCGATGACGTCACGTCTATATTGGATTCGGGTAGTGACTATACTATTAGTGGGGACTCTTCTTTTGATGAAAATTCAGAGGTTTGTCACAAAGTAAAGACACAAAAAAAAGGAAGACTTCTCCGGAGGAAATTATTCGTCTGCTTTTATACAGTCGCGCACGTAGATCGCTGCCGATATAAACATATACGATATGGTCAAATTGGTTACCATGGCAACACTAATGTGAATATTTCGGTATATATTATTGTTATTTTCCAAATATTTAATTTATTTTTATTTTATTGTTAATAAAAACTTGTTACTGATGATTTTATATTTGTATTGTCTACCACAAAATTGTCAATACTGCTCGTTTATATTTTATTATTTTTAGAAAAAACCCATTATTATCACAATTTAGTGACTTTTCCCCAAAAACCTATACTATTCTTACAAAAGAGATATCTATCATGGTAATAATCCATATAGCTTTATTCCTGACCATCTTGAATTTTTTAATGACAAAAAATTATCCAATATTTCATTTATGACAATAATATGGCAGCCATTTTGAAACCCACTGGTAACCATAGTAACCATAAAATCAAAATTAAAAATATGCAAAAATTCCAAGTCATATATAATGGATATACATTTGCAATTTTACAGTTGTAGTCGCATTCATATTCAAGGTATGAATGATTTTTCACAACAGGGTCTAAAGCTTGATTTTTACTCAATATTTGCATAGCCCTGTATGGGTGTAAAGTGGTTAGCTCAGGAAGGGTTAAGCAGGAAATACAGATCACATCTACACCTTGACCATTCTAGCTCAATCAGAAGCAGAGCAATGTGTCCCAAAGTCACTCCCACTGAAAAGGCTTATCTCAGCTACATGTAAACCTAAGCAGAAAATACACACCATAGAACTCAGCCAGAGCATTCACCTTATGAACAACTACACCAAGTTTCATTAGAAGCAAAAAGTTATTGTCACCCAAAGTGTGCTGAACAGACAGATGGACGAACCCATTTTAATAGTTCCCTAGTTTCTTTGAAAGCTAAGGGATAACTGCATCATTGTTGGCTCCATTGACCCAACTGTCAATTTCTGTATGAAATTCAGAATAACAATTTGACTATCAAGAATTACCATATTCCCCCAGATGGGTTAAATACATCTGATTCATTGAAAAGATAACACAGGATCTGGTCAAATCTGGTGTTTCAAATGTTTCTATAATTTCTTGCAGTAAGAGTGTGAATTTAGAGGGAATGAAGGATGACATTGTTCATTTGTGTGGCTTAGCATCCACTTCCACCAAGGGTGTTATCTTACACAAATGTTTCCTGGGAAACGTGGTTAAAGGCGCACTCTTGCCTTTTGAGATACAGGATGACTGACCTCAATATATACAACCACATTTCTGAACATTCTTAAGAAATAAAATCAAGACAGTGAAATATATTTTAACCGAGTATGGTTAAAGCAAGAGGCAGTGCACATCTGAACACATTACGTACAAGCTTTTTTTTATATAAGGGATCATTTGTTTATTCACTAAATAAAGATAAATCAACTTACAGGGAAATCCTTTACAGAGCTCCTCAATTGGGGTTGACATTTTTTTCTCACTGATTCGTTCATATTTCTGTCGCTTTGTAGCTGCTTTTAAACCTTGCCAGGGTAAACTCCCTCGCAAGAAATACATGAACACATAACCTAGAGACTCCATATCATCACGTCTACTCTGTTCTATAATAAATAAGCATTACATTAATCATTTACAGCTGTCGAATATATTCAAATATAGAATCCACTGTGATCACAAGCTAGTTACATGTGATGACAATAATACCACAGATAATTGATAAACTCACAGTATTCTTACCAGTTACAAATATTGGTGATACTAGATCAAGATAATTCAGTTTCCTTCCAGAAAACAGAATTTCAGTGGGGTCAATCAACAGTAGAATTTGAGCACATTTCATCATATGAAGTAGGGCTGCAATGATACACCAGGCCACGATATGATGCGCATCACTATTCTTAGTCTACAATACAATTAGTATCGCGATATAGGAAATAAATTTAAACCAGCGGCTGCCAGGCAGGATACGCCCACATTTTCGAGAGATGGATAGAGAACAAGCTAAAAAGAAAGCGATTTTTCGTACAATCAGGGGCCATAATTCAGGAAGTTACGGTCCGATATGCACGAATATCGAAAGGAACCGAGATCTTTGGATTATAAACTTACATTTCAAGTTTCAACAAAATCGGATAAAAATTGTGACCTCTATAGGGTCCACAATCTTGATATACCATATTTTTACGCTAATTGAGGACGAACGGCGGCCATTTTGACTGTCAATTTTGGGGCGATTTTCACAAAATTCAAACTCAACTGTCCTTAGGGTGGAACAGTAATATAATACGTTTTTTTAAATCGGATAAAAATTATGACCTCTAATGGGTCCACAAGCTAAAAACACGATTTTTCGTACAATCAGGGGCCATAATTCAGGAAGTTACGGTCCAATATGCGCGAATATCGAAAGGAACTGAGATCTTTGGGTTATAAACTTACATTTCAAGTTTCAACAAAATCGGATAAAAATTGTGACCTCTATAGGGTCCACAACCTTGATATACCATATTTTTACGCTATTTGAGAACGGCGGCCATTTTGTCTGTCAATTTTGGGCCGATTTTCACGAATTTCAAACTCGGCCATCCTTAGGGTGTAACGGTGATATAATAAAACGTTTTTTTAAATTGGATAAAAATTATGACCTCCATAGGGTCGACAAGCTAAAAACGTGATTTTTTGTACAATCATGGGCCATAATTCAGGAAGTTACGGTCCGATATGCGCGAATATCGAAAGGAACCGAGATCTTTGGGTTATCAACTTACATTTCAAGTTTCAACAAAATCAGATAAAAATTGTGACCTCTATAGTGTCCACAAGCTAAAAACGCGATTTTTCGTACAAACAGGGGCCATAATCCATGAAGTTTCGATCCGATACATGCCAATATCGAAAGCAGCCGAGATATTTTGGAGATGAACCTATATTTCAAGTTTCGTCAAAATCGGATAAGAATTGTGACCTGTAGAGTGTCCACAAACAATTGTGGACGGACGGACGGACAGGGGCGACGGCATAATACGTCCACATAAAAATGTGGGCGTATAAAAATGCTGTTAAATTTTGACTGTCTATCACTGTGAAAACTCGAAGGCCTAAGTCGCTAATATTTGGGATCTAGAAATTGACACAAATGGGTCGCAATGCATACAATAATGTAATATGAATGTATATAAACTGATTTACATTCAATCGTTTCCGTTTTTACCCTAATTTCAAATCAATTATGTTTGGCGAAATACGCCAGGAGTCTCAATCGAATGGCAATCTCTAGCACCTGGTTATTTCAGTCTACACGGATAGCATTTATTGCGCATGCTCTCCAGACCAGAATATGGCATAACCGTTTGACATGACTTGTGGAATCATGTCTAGCCTCGTTTCGAGTCCTGTGTTACAAATGGCGCTGAAACGCATAGTAAAATGTTTATTTTGTCTTAAATATTGGATATCAGAAGTCCATCTTTTCCCAGTAAGATCACAACATCAATGTTGATTTAAATTGACAAAATTTCATGTTTTCAATGTCGAAGACTTTGGATGATACTGAGCTACTTTAAATGTGGTGTTTTCTCGGTCAACTGACCGGATTTCATTGCTGCCATGCTTAACGGGAAATCCTTAAAACTCCCATGCTTTACTTGTGATTTACAAACTTGGTATGGGAATTTCGATCTCAGTATTGCTTTTGTCAATCGTGCGACTTGAATTTGGTGAATTCATTATGAAACAAGTTCAGCTGGCTGGCCCGTATTGCCATAACAATTTCAGCCAATGAAAAGCTTTCTCGTTGTCAAGTCAGTCATAGATTACGGAACAGCAAAGGAAATAATGTTACAGACATTTTAATATCAAATATTAATATTCATTGAAAATGTGTTGATCAATGTATGCAGTATGTTCAAATCGTCATTCTTCTACAGTAATATCACAAATTGCATATTACGGACATATATAGGCCTATATATATTAATATGTTTTTTTCCGCATATTATTCAAGTGTGTAATTTGAACGTAACTTAATTTCCAGCACGACTTGCTTAACCAGACCGATATTTTAATTTTGAAGAAATAGCTACAATAAGCCACTTCATGTGTCAAAAACGCCTTAACACTCGCTGAAAGTAAAAAAAGTTATTATGCTCATGGACTTATTTACACATTTAAAGGAATATCAAGTCTATTTTTGCCAAATTATTATCTGGCTAACAAATCGCGATACGGCCAGTGATTGTATCGTGCATCGTGGATTTTTAAAACATTGCTGGTCATCGATGAATTGTTGCAGCCCTAATATGAAGGGATTTACAGTTACACATTTCTCTTTTTGCACATACCTATGCCTAAATGTGTGTTTATACTAGCATATCTAGCTGTACCAGTGAGATTCTTATTTTCTCTGTAAGGTATATGTTGATGTGTTCTAGCATCTCGATATTTTTTGGCAAGTCCAAAGTCTATGATATACACCAAATTTCCTTTTTTGCCTAAACCCATCAGAAAGTTATCAGGCTTTACATCACGATGAATAAAATTTTTAGAATGGATATATTCAATCCGACTTATCTGAAAAAGATATGAAAACATTAAAACTTGTGAACAATGGTTAATACATGTACAATTTTAATCTGATTTAGATAAAACTTAGATCCAAAGACCTTGGATAAGTTCAACTTTGGTCTTTGGTGCAAATCAGACCTTCCATTCTGGAATTATGCCCCCTGCCTTTTACACAAAATGTGAAATGTGTAGAAAGTTTGTAGACCCACTAGAGCCCAAAATGTTAATCTGATTTAGATGAAATTAAGGATCAAAAGATCTCTGAGGAGTTTGATCTTGGTGTGCATTGGACCTTCCATTCCAGGATGAGCCCTATCGATTATCAAACTATTGTTCCAGAGTTATGAACCCTTAGTGGAAAACATCGAAGCTAGTTTTTAAGTGACATTGAGTGATCCCTGACATTTTGTTCCGAAGTTACCCTCTTTTTCCGAAAACAGTTTGTAACAGACGTTTGTAATTAGATGTGAAGCACTGGGACAATGAGCTCTATTAAATAGGGGAAAGGTGTTACTTACCAACTGATCAGCAAGCAATAGCACGGTTTTCAAACTAAATTTCCGTGAGCAAAAATTGAATAGGTCTTCAAGACTAGGACCCAACAACTCCATTACCATAACATTATAATCTCCTTCTGCACCACACCATTTTATGGTAGGAATTCCAACTGATAATAAATAACAAATCTTTAAACTAAGGAATCATAGCTACCACAATGGGTTTTTTCACTAAATATCCTATACATACTTCTTAATACCCTTGTTATTTGTAATAAATCGTGTAAATTCCGGCTCAAATTTTTGTTTCTGTTATTAGCACTATGTGATCAATGGCCCCAAAACTTACTGACAAGCAAGTTCCAACTGATTCCATCTGATAATTTCTTTACAGTACATTTTGTTAACAAGGACATAAATCTCAAAAGGAAACAAAAACGCTGATACATATCAATTGTTTGATGTGGTGAAACAGTATTAACATAGACAAGACAATAATATATTTAACGGTACCACATGTACAATACTTGATGGTTAGTTAAACTAATCTGTATAGGACATTTGAGGAATTAACCAACATGTTAAATAATACTTATTTTGTATTTCCTATGCAGTTAAATTAAAAAGTTTTTTCAATTTTCTCACCAATACTTACCTCCTCCCTGCATCATTCTATAAATCTTGCTTTCAATGTGCAATTGAGGATGTTTGGTCTTGACACACTCCAATTTAATAGCAACCTCTTCTCCATTAGAAATATCAGTTCCTGAAATAAAAGGAGAAAGAAAATGAGAAAATTTGAATTAGCTGAGTTAGTCATACTACCCAGTTTATCACTGAAATGGGTTTTAAAAATTTTCAGTTCCAAGGACAGATTACACCAAGTCATTTCAGCTTACACACTAAAAAACACATGCTGGGTGCCCCATTTAATTTAAAATAAATAGATGGCACATATTAATTAATTGCACATATATATATCTTTTTGAAAAGTATCAAACTGGCTATCTATACTTAGTCAAATAGCTTACATTTATACCATAAGCAGAAACCTTATAAACACCTAAACCAAGTTTAAATATTGTAGCTCTGATTAGGAGAGTTATTGTGTTCCGAAGTCTCGACCAATCAAATTGCTTATTGCTCTGCTTATTATCGAACTTAGTCAAGGTATTGATGTAATAAAACTATACACCAAGTTTGATCACTCTCACTTAATTACAACCAAAATTATTGTGTCCCAAAGAATCAACCAACCAATACAATTGCTTATCTCTGCTTTGCCTAAGCAGAAAATGCTCATCTTCTCTCTCCATCAAGGCATTCACCTAATAAAAACCTTAACCAAATTTGAACATTCTACCTCAAATAGAAGGAGAGTTATTGTGTCCCAAAACATTTTGACGGACAGACCCATTTTAATAGACCCCTGCTCTCTTTGAAAGGCGGGGGCACAAAAAAACTAGCGAATCGCCAAAAACGTAAGATTGCTGTGGTAGTTGCTATTCATTTGCTCCTAATTCTTGAATCATGACGTCAAACAGGCAAGGCCTTTATGACCAAAGAATCACCAATTATGCTTCTATCGTCAGGCTACACACTTTGGCAGTGGAGGCAGTCAGTTTGACATCATGAGATATATCAATGATGTCTCCGGTCGGCGAAAATATCTCACAGGCTAGATATGGGCAACTGGTCGGACAAATGGTTCAACGAGCAGAATCTCCGGCGCTGTAAATGGGCACAAGGGCAATTTTTTAGAGCAATTTTAAAAATCATTGCAGTCAGGAGAAAAAATACGCTTGTATGTCCCAGCTTACTATAAGATATGACATATTTTGTTATTTGGTGTGATAAAGTACATATTAATCTCCAAAAAATACCAATTTTTTTTTTTTACCAACTATGTTCCAAACTTAGCCATGACAAGGCCGTGGTTAATTAATTGTCTGTTTCTCATGACCCTCCTGTGTGTCCATTTTCATCCTTAATAATTACGCACTTCCATAATTATTTGGTCAAATTTAGTGAGGACAGAATTTTGTTCCAATTCATCCTATAAAGTTTGTAAAACAATATTTGTTTGTCTTCAAATGTGAATAATGAACTGGCGCATTAAAATCCACAATTTATTGACAAACGTGACCCTGTAGGTGTCGATAAACTAAGCTAACATGTGAAAAAAGAATATACGAAGTCCATTAGTTAAACAGGATGTTATAAATGAAATGGGGTTTAACGTCCTACTGTTCTGCTCCAACTAGGCTAATGAAGAAAGGCATACGCCATACAGTTTGCTATGAGGGAAATGTTGCCCGGGCAGCGGCACTATGGCCTACTCTTATATCGAAATCCAACTGACAAGGGATCTTTTGTATGCACTCCAATGTATACACTGGGCCTCAGGGTTTTTTTCCGTATCAATCCAAATTCATGACTAAACAGCCCTCCGTCCTGCACCACTGACAAGGGGAAAACCATGTCGAAAAAACCTGATGAACTTTCTCGGCCAATGCAGGAATAGAACACGCTAGCGAGCCAGCGTCTTACCCACTTAGCCACCATGGCTTCTTTTTTTTTCGGGCAACTAATTTCATTATGTATAGCAATCATAGAGAAACTAAATCAGGGAGATTTCGATTTGACAATGTTTGCGTATTTTTGAAACAGATTTCGAAGTCTTTTGGTCCTGATGTGCAAGATGTTTTTCGACATTCCAAAGTAAACGTACAGTGCTAAGACCCCCTAAAAATAAATAATAAATGTTCCTATAATTAATTAGAACAGGTTTCTCTTTAGTTTTTATATTTTACGCTGACATGTATATTGCGTTAAATCTTTCTAGTGCAAAAATGGAAAACTTGACCTTTTGACCCTAGGGTGACAAAGAACAAAGATAAATTTAGCAAGTTTACCTTTTTATTGAAAGAGTGATTAGTTTCGATCATTTTCAGCATGTTTTCATGATACAAGAATGGCTGCGTATTCACTTTCAGTGTAAATGAACTTATTTGACCTTTGACCCTGATCACCTCGAAAACGGCAGAGTGATTACCACTCAGCATCGTATTCTACGCAAAAAAATATTGTAGAGCAGTTGGGTCTGGTTTTGTGCCCATTTGAATACGTCCACAACAGGTTTTAAAATATAACAATTCGCATGTAAAAAGTAAATATCTCACTACTCCACCACACTCCAATCATTTTATGCATTCAAATGGAAGTCTTCGACCATCAAAAAAAAGAAATGTGGCGATGTTCTAGTCATGATAGACGGTAGACCTGGATAATCGTGTCGTAGAGGGGCTACTTTCTACGACGTCAATGCATCATCCAGTGCGAAACTGTTGCTAGAGGCAGCCATGATTGCTTACTGCGAATCATGTGACAACACCACAATTTATTCAAATTACTGATCTAGGTCATGGAAAGCTTTTCATTAGCTATAATTATAAATAGTTTTTTTTTTCTTTCCGCTTGTATCTCCATTATTACATAACAACCGGTCAGACTGTTATGTGTCCTCTGGGTCATTTTACACATGGACAAGTATACAAAGTCTTAATAAGATTGCCGCTGAAACGTTAGTGTGATTAATTAACATTAACTCTGGAGTTAAAGGTGAGCACTGAATCTCAATAGGTTTCAGACCAAATTTGAAAACAATCAACAGAGCGCTGAATATCAAAAGAGCCACCTCATGACTCCATTGCCTCACACATAACCTCTATCAAGTTGAAGGGCATAGAGCTCTATTCTTTGGAAGCTTAAAATAGATGAAAATGGGTCTTAAAGTACATTTTAATGGAGCTTAATCGCTATTCTTTGGCACCTAGAAGTGGACACAAATGGATTGCAGCCATATATAATAATGTAACAAGAATGTATATAAACTGATTTACATTTAATTGTTTCCTTTTTTTACTGTGATTTCTAATCAGCTATGTTCAGCAAAATACACGTCTGGTTATTCCAGCCTACACCGGTAGTATTCTTCTAGTTCTACATGGGATATGTTTAGCCTCGTTCATCACTTCACTTTATACAATCGGTGCTCTTCTAAAGCATTCTGGCACGCGTTTCGTGTGCCAATTTTAAAGTTTTGAACAAACCACCATGACTTTGTGTCTTCCCAAAAATAAATGAAAAAAATTGTGATGTCGAAGGCATGTATTTGAAAAAGCAAGTCTGGCCTCTTGACTGCAGACTGCAAAATTGCAGTAGCCATTTCCAGGTTGACGTAATTCCCTAATGAAAAGGCCCACCGCTTTCCTGCCCACCTCCCTTCTCTAACCAACTCAATTTCCATGGATTCTTTACGTTGTCAATGCTGTTAATATCATGGATGTCATCTCAATGAATTATATTTTTTTTCGCTGCCATTTTATTTCACAGCAGAGAAATTGGAGCTAATCGTATTACATGTTTTATTTCCAAAGGTTTCAAATTTGATTTTAATATCTCCAGGTGGCTTGGACCACTCTACAGGACAATTTTCCGCAGATAACGATTTCTTGGAATTTCACTGGACAACTACGGTACTATTGTAAAACTAATTGTTTGATCATACAGGACGGTGGTATCGAACAAGAGATGTTTACATTCTTAGTACTAAAAAAAAAGAGAGTAAACGACTTTATCCTTTACTTTTGTCAGCATAGAATTTGGGTGCCTATAAGTTTTTCAGAACCAAATTGTCCCTAGATACTCCCCTGTACATTAACATGTAGAAGTGATTTTTTTTTTTTTTTTTTAAAGTTCTTATGCATTCACCTAATGAACAACTACACAAACTTTAGAAATTCTAGATCATTTAGAAACAGTTATTGTGTCAAAAAAATTGTGATGCGACAAACCAATTATAATAGTCATAGTAGGAGAAGACGGTTGTCATAATAATTTGCTAAATTCCTTTACCTTCAAAACAGTGAACGACTCAGATATAAATCGAAAATGATCCGCAGCTAATCACCTTTTTGATATAGTACTTATGTTTTAATAAAGTTTTATAGTTTAATTTATCATTCTTCAATTGTATTATGCATTTTCATTATTTCAAGAAGGTATGCGCAGGAATGAGAAAACATGAGTTCGCAAGGGTAAATTTTTTAAAAAAAATATTGTGATATCTGATTCGTGTACCAATTGTAAAATGGGTTTTTTTTGTCTTAAATATTGGATATCAGAAGGCCATCTTTTCCCGGTAAGATCACAACATCAGTTGATTTAAACCGACAAATAAATCGTGTTTTCAATGTCGACGATTTTGGATGATATTGAGTTAGAGACTAAGCTACTTTAAGTGTGAGCTATCTATGTCCTAATCTCTAATGTGGAAGTTCAATCTGAGAATATATATGTAAACTCAGCCCTCGAAATTTGGATTTTTCTACTAGGGCAGCAAAAAAAAAAAAAAAAAAAACCAGAGCATTACGCAGCTAATTAGGCTGCTCCGACACCAAAACATTTACCACAATCGTTGTGTTTGTTCTTAAAATTTATTCATTCAAAGATTTTCAGTGCCAATTGATCTGGTTGTACATAGTAATTATGTTTTATACGAATCAAATTTACAGAATTTTGTTGAAGTATAAGATTATATTAAAGCTATTAAAATTTATTTAAACCCTTTCCTTGTGATCTAACACAGACATGACCACTTGACAACCATAACTAAGATTGCTTCACAAAATAAAATTTCCTACAACTATGCCATAGCCTTCATTAATAAGGACAATTAAATATTGAGCCTTTGTCAACATGCGTATGAAATGCTAATAAATTCAGGCCACGAAATTAGCGGACGCAAAGACGCAAAAAGCATGCTAAAATATGAAAAATAGTGTGTTAGATTTGAACTAAAACGCAAAGTTTTGCGTCTACCGTAATTTAGTTTTAAGCAAATTTTAAAACTTGACGTAGTATTTTGGTCTAAACGATGATTACCACATTTTGTAAACGCAAAAACCAATAAAATACACATTTGTGAATAAGTGGTAGTTAAATGGACAAAGGTCCAAACGATCAAATTCTGTTCAATACTTCCATTTGACACCAGGTAGAAAAATGTTGTATTAATTTTAGATTTACAACTAGAATTACTGAAAGTTTTTGCTTGTTACACTTTGTTTTTGCTTCTAATTTTAAAAATAACAAGCAAAAAATTGCTTCTGGTATTGGAAATAAGATTCGAACCCTGATAAATTGTTATGGCAGACATTATTTAAACCTAAATATTGCATCAGTGACCTAATTCCAATGGCACCAAACAGTTCTATGATATTGAATGGTCATGACCTATGCATTTTGTGTGTCATCGTAATTCAACACCAGAGATCATGTTGAAAAAATATAATATTGACTGTGTATAAGGAAATTCGGTGTTCTGTCAGGGGGATTATTTAATGACTATTTACAGGTACATTTGACTAACAAATGAAAACAGAATGTATTTTATAAGCATTTTCAATGAGATTTGGGCAAAATTAAATATAAAAAAAAAAAACATTTGAAAGACCTGGACAAATAATGTTTTCACTTCAATGATATTCAAAGTATTTCAAGGTACACTGGAATCCTGTGTAAGCTTCATTCAGCTAATCCCTTCAACTTGGACATGCAGAAAAGTAGGACATTGAATACCCATTTCATTTCAGCTGGTCCTATAATATTTCAAATAATTATGGAAAGATAAGGTCTTTAAATCAATATGTAAATTTTAAAAAGTGATTTCTTTAGGGTTGACCCATTTGAATAACTTTTGGACCAATTTACTTTGCAGGAGCCAGGATATTGAATCGTCTTAAACTCTAAATTTATTCTGGCCTTATAATTTCTCAATTATTAAACTTTAAAGATCTCCTTTAATAATAGTAAATGCAGGAGGCCAAGAGTACACACAAAACAAACCAGCGGACAAAACAAATTACATAGACATTGAAAGAAATAAATAACAAATATCAAATAAAGTGAATGGATGTGGTAGCGAACTCACTACGTAGTACGTACATTATGTAGGCAATCGGTTGTTAACTTAAAATTTTAAACCATAAGCTTATTCTTTAGAAAATAAATATAATGAATCATCAAAATCTGTGTAATAAAAGAAATATGTATGAAAATATGATTGCTTTAGTGCAAATTTGATTCATGAATCAACTAGGTCAATAAAATAAATTTTACATCCTCCCTATAGTCATGAAACAGACTGAAATTTTGGATAAAATAATCATAAATTATGGTTGTAACATTCATGTTTTTACCATTATAGCTTCTGATGACGTTCAATCATAGGCATGCCTTGGGCTTATCCTCATGTAATAAGCCTACTCTTGGTGTGCAAATGTATAATAATTAATGATGTCACATAATTGATATTTTCCTTCGTTCGACTTTGCTTCAAGTAAGCAAGCAGAAAAAACTGTGTGATTTTAAGACGATTTGCCGAACAGTAAATAATGGAACGGTTTTCTAGTAATCGAAAATATTCTTATCAATAACAACAATGTAAAAGTAGTGTTTTCCGACTGTCCGAGTTCTGTAAAATGATCGTGAATCGTTTTATATCGCCATTGCATTGGCCCATTTTCATCTGATTGATCAACTGTCAAAAATCAAGAATAGAATCTAATCTCACCCAAATAAATATCCCCAAAAGAACCGCTGCCGATCTTTCTGCCAAGTCTGTATTTATTTCCGACCCTAAGCTCCATCTTGCCTGAAATATTAAGAGAACATTTGAACACAATGAAAATGGTCGTTCCCGTCTGACAGATCCCGAGTCGTAAACAAACGGAAGACGATGAGTCGAGAGAGAAATAAGCTAATTTGTACTAACCAGATCGTTTTGTCTTTAAAATATGGCTACCATTTGAAAGTTAGATATTTTTTCTACAGATCGTTCAACTCGATCGACATTTGTTATTCGTCAAAAGGCCTTGATGTTGGGGATTGTATATTGTTTCATCTCTCCCTTAGCACCGCCATTATTTACTTCCATCAGTTGGTTGCTCAAGACAAACTACGCAGGCGCCGACAGACTACTTCCTTCAGAAGTCCCCGGATGTATTTACCAGCAGACCGTATTACCTCGGCCATAGGCCTACTATATAATTATAATGTGCATTACAGACTGTTATTGGCTGATAGTAACCAAAGAAGAATGGTAGTTAATAATAATTAATACATTTAAACGAAAAAAAACAACAAAAAAAAATGTTTATCTCAGACCCACGTGATAAAAAAAACAACAAAAGAACATTTAGTAAATTTAAGTTAGACCCCATACCACACCCAGAGCCAGCCGTGGGCAATTGGGTTGGGGGGGGGGGGGTATTTTAGAACTTAGGTTGGCAACTTTTTTTCGTGAGGAGGGGGGAAGGGCCCTCCTCCCCCCGAAAAAATGACCCCCCCACCCACACCCACACACACAGTGTGACACACACAAAAGTTGCTGACGTATAGTTATAAAATACCTATAGGGGCTTACTGTCACAGTTTGTAATAGACAGGCAGCAGTCTGGACCTGGAAACTTCCTTGACCTTGTTTGGTGGGCAGCAGACCCGGTTAAGCCTATGGTGAACTATACAGTTTGAGTTATATACAACTTTGTAGGGGCGTTGGTTTGCTGTCACAGAGATATACAAAAAAAAACGTAAACAGATAAAGATTAGATTTCTTGCAGGATGCTCCTTATTCAATTTATTCAACATCCAAGTTTTCCTTTTGGATTATCTACTGTTGAGACATAGATATCGTGAGCGTCTTTCCACACATTGCGTGGTTATCTTTCCAATTTCTTTTGAAGCAACGAAAAGAATGAACCTTATTGATTTGCAGCGCTCTCCGATTTTTCCTGTCTGGTGAACGCGAGAGTTTTTCAAGATTTTTGTTTTAAAATCCACCGCGAAGCATTTGGGCCACAAGACAAAAATATGGCCTGGAAACTATGCAAATTATGACATTTTCAATAAAGCGTCGCCCACACATTAAATTAAAATAATTTAACAGGCACGCCTGTAATTCAAAGCTTCCCATGAACCCTATCGATTTTAATCATTTTTCAAATTTAGTGTAAAGCATTAGGACCATAAGACAATGGATGAACCCTATCATTTGTCCGTTTATTCGTTGATTAGTTCGCAGTTTTCCTTTTTAACAAATGCCAGAGTATTTCTTTGGGGTGATTTTTTTTTTATCAAATTAGGTGTGAAGTATTGGCCCAATGGTTGCTTCACAACGTGCAGACACTATCATAAGGTTTCGGGAAAACTGTAGATCTGGGGACATTATTATATGTCGTCAAGATCTCGACATTATTAACTCAAAATCTCGAAATAAATTTACACAGGATGTCAATATCTCGAGAACATTAACTCGAATTCTTGAGATCTTTAACTCAAGATTTTGCATGAGCTAGCGACCTACGAAAGCGTATAATAGGGGCCATGCGAAATTTGGTAGAAGATCTCGAGATCCTGCGATCCTGTGATACTTTCTGGAAATCCCGTGATCACCTGGCAATTTTCTCAAGAACCCAATTTAATGTCCTCGAGATCCCCTGATAATTTTCCAGAGATTGTTCCATCCTGTGTTAACGGTCTTGAGAAATCGAGTTAATGTTCTCGAGATATTGACATCCTATGTGTAAATTTTCTCGAAATCTCGAGATAATATTATTGTTCAGAGTTCGCTATAGAGAACTATGATTTTGGGGGCTGGAAAATAAGTTTGCGGCCGTCCAATTTTCAAATTTTTACGAGGTAGGAGACCCCCCACCTACCCACCGGACCACCTCCACCCTAAAAAGTTCACATCCTGTGTAAATGTTCTCAAAATCTCGAGTTAATATTATCGAGAGGGACACGGATGAAAATCAATAGAGACAATCCACTTGCTTTAAATCAAAACGGAAAAGAAACTATATTCTCCGTGGTTTGCAAGAAATTGTAATATTGATGGACAGACAAACTTCAAAACCGACAGAAAATGATTAGAATCGATAGTGTTCACTGTCATGTGGCCCCAATACTTCACACCAAATTTGAAAAATAAAACACTACCGCGTTTATAATAGCTTTGAATTAGGGACTTGCTTTTTGCATAGTTTTTAGACCAGATATTTAGAAAAAATAAAGCTAGGGACTTGACAACCTGTAGGCACACAGCTATTTTGAATTGTAGCTTTGTTGGATACAGCGAACGTGAGACTGCATTGCGTTTCGAAGCCAAAGGCGTTATGGTCACTTGCATAATTATGTAATAATCGAGAACGGAAAATCACCGGACACTGAAAATCTATAGAGTTTATTGTCACGTGGCGTAAATGCTTTGCGGCAAATTTTTATAAAAATCTTGAAAAAGTCTGGGCTCCTTTCACAAGGTTTACGGGAAAAGAGGAGTAACACATGACACTCAAAGACGCGCAAACAATTTACCCTTAACGGAAAGCCAGAGAATGCTGAAAATCAATAAGGTTCATTCTCTAGTGGAAACAATCCTTCAAAAAATCTAATTTATTGTCATTACGAGCTTTTCCGGACAAATAATATATCTCTATAAAAAAAGAAACCAACAGGGTTCATCCTTCTCACGCAACACTGCATTTCGAAAATCCGTGAAAAAACGTAATTCTGTATCGCATTAACAAGGTTTTCGAAGTATGGCGAGTAACTTCGGAACTGAAGATCGCTTAGTATCCTGTCGTGACCACAATGCTCCACACCTAATTTGAAAGAAATAGTTAAAAGTGTTGCAGTGAAATGAAATGGGGTTTAACGTCCTATTGTTCTGCTCCGAACTGGGCTAATGAAGACGGGCATACGCCATGCAGTGTGCTATGACGGAAATTTTGCCAGGACAGCGGCACTGCGGCCTACTCTTATATCGAATTCCAACTGTCAAGGGATTTTTTTTACATCCACGCCAATGTGCACACGGGACTACAAGCTCTCTTTGTCAGGCTCTCCGTCCTGCATCACGGACAAGGGGGAACCACGCCGGAAAATCTTGATGAACTTTCTCGGCCAATGCTGGGATCGAACACCCGACCTCTAGGCTAGCGAGCCAGTGTCTTACCCACTTAGCCACCGTGACCCCCCTCCATCCGGCTTTAAGAAGGCTTTCGGATAGATTGGGTGGGCGCAATCAATAACAAGCCAACAGTGAGGCTGATGTCCCCCGCCGAAATCCCAAAATAAATAGATGACACATATTAATAATTAATCGCACATTTATTTTTGTCAAAAGTATCAAGCAATCAAACAGATTATCAACTATACACTAAGTTTTATCACTATCTATCAGATAGAATCAAAGTTATCTTATCCCAAAGCATCGACCAATGAAATTGCTTAGCTCTGCTTAGCTTTAGCTCGAAATGTTAATCATTGAACTCAGTCAAGACGTTCACCTATATATATAATGAATATCTACATCAAGTTTAAACATTCTACCTAATAGCAGCAGAGTTGTTATGTTCCAAAGTCTTGACCAATCAAAATGCTTATCGCTCCTTAGCCTAAGCAGAAAATTCTCATCATCGAACTTAGTAAATGAATCTATACTCGGAGTTTCATCACTCTCACTTAATTAAAACCAAAGTTATCGTGCCCCAAAGCATCAACCAATCAGATTGCTTATCTATGCTTACCATAAGTAGACAATGTTTATCACCGAACTCCATCAAGGCATTCACCTAATGAACGCCTACACCAAGTTTGAACATTCTACCTCAATTAGAAGAAGAGCTATTGTGTCCCAAAGTGAGAGAGAGAGAGAGAAATGGGGTTTAACGTCCACTCGACACAAACTAGGTCATTTCGGGACTAACATATGATTTAATTTTATTATTTTTTAATAATTCGCTTGCGCGTAGGGGTCTTTAGCAGTGGGAGGAAACCGGAGGACCCGGAGAAAACCCACGAGGTTGGACAGGCGACCCTACTCCTTGTCACGTACAACCGGGGATTGGAAACCACTCCAATTGACTCAATGACAGGCCTTATGATACAGCACGCACGTGCTAACCATTCGACCATCCAACCCCCCGTGTCCCAAAGTCTCGACCAATCAAATTGCTTATCGCTCTGCTTACCCCGAGCAGAAAATGCTCATTATCGAACTTAATCAAGGTATTGATATGATAAAACTATACGCCAAGTGTCACCACTCTCACTTAATTAGAACTAAAGTTATCGTGTCCCAAAGCATCAATCAATCAAATTGTTTATCTCTGCTTACCCTAAGCAGAAAATTATCATCTTCGAACTCCATCAAGGCATTGCTCTAATAAACACCTACACCAAGTTTGAACGTTCTAGCTCAATTAGAAGCAGAGTTATTGTGTTCCAAAGTCTCGGCCAATCAAATGGCTTATCGCTCTGTTTACCCTGAGAAGAAAAAGCTCATTATCGAACTTAGTCAAGGTATTGATGTAATATTCACCAAGTTTCATCACTCTCACTTAATTAGAACTAACGTTATCGTGTCCCAAAGCAGCAACCAATCAAATATATCTCTGCTTACCTTAAGCAGAAAATGCCCATCTTCAAACTCCATAAAGGCATGGACATAATAAACACATACGCCGAATTTGAACATTCTAGCTCAGTTAGGAGAGTTATTGACTTATTGTGTCCCAAAAAGTGTGACGGACAGAAAGACGGACAGGCAGACAGATAGACGAACCCATTTTAATAGTCCCTTGCTTTCTTCCAAAGGCGGGGGACAAAAATTATACAGGACAGGCTTTTTCCTTTTGGAACACCTGTTGTACTTTTGTAGGCTACAGTAATTCCGACAGCAAATCAAATGTCTATGCCTCTGTTTTCAATATGAAGTACCAATATGGAAGTATCAATAAACAGTCGACATATTGGATTTTAAGATGACCGCCTCGTTTAAGACACTCAATTGTATCTGAATTTTTTTTGTAAATGTCATGAACGCTTACTGCACATGGTGAGTAAATCCATGTTCATAAATTGTAAAAGTTTGCTTACAACAGCCGCCATATTGGATTTCAACATGGCAGCCACCCTTTAGACATTCAATTCATTCATTTGTATCTTAAAAACTATAAATGCCAGAAACAGGATTCTTTTGCTTACTGCACTTCGTGAGCATATCCGACTTTATACAATGTTAAAATTCACTAACTGCAGCCGGCACATTTGATTTCAAGATGGCCAAGTACTATATCCAAAATTCAACATTACCAACTCATCGTTGACGCAAGATATGCAGAGTACTTTGATTTCATAGATAATCATGCTGGTCACAACCCTTTTTATTTGCACATATCCTCCCATACCATTCCATTCAGATCTTAAGGCTATATAACCAACGGTCAGCCTATATTTTATTTTCAAATGGAGTAATAATTAATAGGCTGTTTATGGAAACTCAAGGGTGATATTCATATGCACAAGGTATGAATTTTAAGTGAATCACATGGTAACCTTAGTTTCGAGAGACAGACTGTCTCATATTGAGAGACTTGGGTGGATACCTTATTATGACAACACCCACATTGAAATGTGGGTATATTAAAAACAATATCCAAATACAGTAGTATAAAGATTTATTTTTGTCAAACATACAATTTGTTTGTGTTAGACAACATTCTTCTGATACTGATTGTGCAGTAAATTGATAAATCTCAACTTTTACTTAAGTGGTTATAACCAGTGAATTATTCCAAAATCGTTTTGTTTACTAATAAAAATTATTTTGTTGCAGTACATAAAATAAAGAGTTTACTATAACCCAAAATACATCTTAATAGTTCCTTAAACAAAGATAGTTGCAAAACTAGTACAATATCAAATTATTTAAATATCACAGAAAATTTCTTTAAAAATTGTTTTCTAAAATGGAACATTAACAGTAAATTATAATTAAGTCATCTTAGTTTACTATCCATAAATATCATACTTTTTAGGAGGGAAATTTTCAACCAACTGGAATTTGCTATCAGCCTATAATTAAGGACAATACACATCTTTCAGAGAGCCAAGATATCCCCCTCTAAAATTCTTGTTAAAGTGATATACCTTACCTACAGAAAGATGGATAATATAAAAATATACCCTTAAAAGACAAGCCAAATATTATTTAAAATTTAACAAATCAATTTTGAATGGTAAGATGAATTTCATACTGACAAATTAAAATGACTTCAGATTAAATCTGTGCTTCAAAAGAATATTAATAATAACATAATAGAACAATGAAAACAGATAACAATTAATTTCAGCACAGATTATCAACTGGTAAGAATTAGTAGGTAAACAATTACTACTGATTAAATTTATACATACATAAAAACATCTGATCATGGATTATTAACCAAATTATTTTCAATTGTTGACAATTACACTGTTAGGATGTTTAGTATCAGATAATCCCGCCCTCTACAACACCACTAGGACATAAATTATATTCATTATATTATCACCATTGAGCATAAATAAGTTAAGAGAATTCCTTGGCTAAAATCTAAATTGAATTCATGATAAATAAAATGCTATTCTTTACATCTACATCACAAACAACATTTACTATTTTCATATATATAATATAGATATATTTCTGAATTAAAATAACACAATCATAAAATAATAATAACTACTAAATCAAACCGACAAGCACTTACTTCATTACTTATTCTAATTATAATAATTCTTACATTTACAATACACTCATTCATCCACTCATACATACATACATACATACATCTCAATTTATATATAAATTTCATTCAATTATCTACTTAGTAACACACACACACGCACACCCACACACTTTCCCTCATTAATTTTTCTTAATATAACAAGAATTAAATTATTTACAATTAATCTACCAAATATCTCTCTGTACAAACATCCATACTATATAAAATTGAAAACTGTAAAATCTACCTATAATAAATCTACTATGTACAATTATTAAAATGAATAATTTAACCACTCAAGAACTATCTTCTAATTTATTAATTAAAACATAGATTAAAAAGGTCACCCTGAGTAATATTTTAGCGCCTGAGCTATTAAAATATTATATGGTAATTATAATTATGCAAATCTGAATTAAACTAAATAATTTCATTGATTTGGTAAATACAAAATCATAACAAAACATACAAGGGTACAATAACTGAATGAAGCTCATAAATACGATGTAGGTATCTATCTAAATATATTTAATAATATATATATATATAAGTAGAGGAGGAGACATACTATGAAGAATGACTACTAATAAACAATGAAAGAAAATGAAGAGTACTTATCAAAATATATCATGTCTTCCCCATGAACCTGGGATTTTATCTACATGGCTCATTCATGCTATCTATTTTCTATTCATCTACATTAATACCTACTTTTAATATACAATAGCATAACAATTCTATACATCAAATAACTTAATCCACTAACAAGAACCATAAGTTTACACCAAATAAATGTATGTAATTTCCTCGATATGTATATTTGTTGGAGTATCAAGTTGTTAGAATGGTATCACATTGTGTAATAAAATAAATACAGCGATATCATGTGGTTGTAATGACAGTCACTTCTAACAGGATGGAAGCACCCACCGTTGATAAGGTCCTGTCACCATAGGTTGAGGATCTATCCATCTTGTTATTATGGAATCGGTCGTGAGAGCTTGACTATGACTGACAGGAGCTTCCCACATATACTTATACTGAGCAGCCGATGTTGTTGCAAAATCAATTTCTTCTTCATCTCCACCCTTCTTCACCTTTTTCTTTATTTTGATCTCTTCAGGAATAATGTCTCCATTTTCCATTGACTCTTTCCTTTTTTCCAATTTCTGCAGACGTAACTTCTCACATTTCATCTCGTACTCTAAGAAACCATGATTACTGTAATTCAGGTTTTTATGCTGATAGAATACAAGACTAATACGTGTTGGATGGTAGCGATTGGGATTTTTTAGAGCAGTTGTTGCATGAAGCTCCCGTTTGGCTACTTCAAACAGCACAGCACCATGAGATAAAGCAATGGCAACACCTCCAACATCAGGATCATGAAAGCTTTCTTCATTATACTCCATTTGACGGTGAACAACTGTTGGATCCAAAATTTCCTCAGGCTCATCAGGATTCACTTTTTCTGCATTTGTCATACAACCAGTTAACTTCCCATCCTCCATATTCAGCATTGATGGGGAATGATGTTGGTTATTTTGTTGATTGTTCCTATTCATGGAATGATTATCTGGATGAAGAACTTGGGATGGATTTTGCATAGATATTTGATGCTGCTCCTGAGAATGTAAAGTTCTATGAGAATTATTTTGTTCACAAGGCACCAAACTGTTAAAATCTGGTAAAGATGTATTTGCCCTATTTTCAGGATGAGTAACAGAAAACATTGGATGATTAGGATAAGATCTAGTTGCATCATATGGCATGTGCAAATGAGACTCAAATGACTGCTTGGATGAGTCAACGTACTGAGAATTGCTGCCTGGATGGAAGTTGTGTTGCCCAGGAGTTATCCGTTGTTGAGGTAGTATCTGGTTGTTGTTGATACCAGAATTGTTGCTATGATCACTAAGCCGATCATCTTGATTTAAAGGCATTTTTTGCAAATCCACTGGATAGTTTCTACTTTGAGGTACCACATTATTAGCACCAGACACACAATTTTGAATATTATTGGTAAAATTAGCACCACAAGATAGAGGGTTCTGATTATGCACCAGATCATTAGGTCTTGGTGTTAGATGAGAACACATACTGTCATCAATGTTCGTCTGACTCAAAGGATTGTTTGATAGGCACTGTCTCTTGGCTGCTGGCCAGTCATCTGAAAGTCTTTGGTTATCAGACTGTCGATTTTTATCTAAAAATCCAGCATGTAAAGACCCTGAACTATCTTGATTCCTGTGAACATTTAGATGTTCTTGTTGTTTATTGTTAATCACCATTTGTTGGTGATTATTACGAAGTGCTTCTTGTTTAATAAATGTATTCTGTCCATTGTTATGAAATATCTTTTTATTATCAATATCTAACTGTCGTAGGGGATTTTGTGCTGCTTGTTGTTGATAAACATAATCAAATCTGTGCTGTTGGTGAATATCTGCGACTGGTTGTGTATGATTATTTGTGGATTGTTGTTGATTATTAACTGACTGACTATTTTCTGATTGAAGCTGCTTATGGATGGCTTGCTGTGGATGACTTTTATCAATCTGTTGAGTTTGGATAGAGGTTTGTTGTTGATGGATATTAGCTGGTTGTTGCTGCTGAATATTTGTCAATAGTGGTTGATGGATACTTGTTGCCTGTTGTTGATGGTGGATTGCTCTCTGTTGGTGATGCACATTAGCTGCTTCTCGTTGATGAGGCTGAATAACTTGTTGTTGTTGGATATTAGCTTGTAGTTGTTGAGGGATATTTGATGGCTGTTGTTGATGGGTATTAACAGCCTGTTGATGATACATATCAGCTGAATGTTGAGGATATATATTAGGTATTTGTTGGAAGTTTGGGTTAGTTGGCTGCTGATTATGAATATCTGAGGTCTGTGGATGGATGACAGATGTACGATGAGGTGTATGGATATTAACCATCTGTTGTTGTTGATGAGTATTGGCTGATTTTTGTTGATGCATGTCAGCTGGCTGTTGTCGATGGATATTAGTCACCCGTTGCTGGATATTATCAGAATCTTTCTGGTGTGATGGAGTCTGTGGTGTGACCATATTGTTGTTGAATTTATTATCAAAAGGAGAATACCCTGAGAAGTGTGGTGATCCTGGTGGTGTAGGTCTATTTCTTTTTGTATTTGCCAATGAATTGATGGGATGTTGTGGTGGTCGTTGCATATAATCTGTTTTTTGTTGGTGATGACTGTCTGGAGAACGGAATGGGTTGTTGATGTTACCACCCATATTGTGATTTGTTTGTTGAAAGGTTATATTATCAGGGGCCATTGGCACTTTAAACATGTTATCTACATTCATCATTTTACCATCATTTTGTTGTTGTTCTTGAAATTTGTTCTTATGAAAGGAATTGAGATCATGTTGAGTTTTGTTTGAATGGTTATAGCTGCCATGTATTTGTCCAGGAAGGTTTGAGTGGAGATTTTTCACTTCAAGAGAATCATTTTGATTTAACTGAGCAGAGTTTGTATCTTTACCTTGATATGGATATTGTCTTACTGTATTATGAGGATCTTGTTTTTCCATGTTTGACACTTTCTGAAAATTTGGTGGTAGGTTTCTCATCTGATTGTCGAAGTTTAATGGTTGCTGTTTTTCTGTATTGGACTTGGGGTGATTACTCACAGGGTACATATCCGAGGAGGGTTTTTGAATAATTGTATTGGATGGACTGTTGACATCACCTTTGATATTAGTTATATTACTAGATGGCAGTGTAGCACCCCATTTGTCTAAAAAATTTGCTGGTGGAAAAGACCCATTTTTATAGAAAAAGCTCCAAAACGAATCATACATTTCTGTGAATCCTGGCATGTCTGATAAAGACATTAAATTATCAAATGTCAAATTGTCTTTATTTTCGGATTTCAGTGGTGCAGGATAACTACAATTTTTATCAGAGTTGGGTATTTTACCCATTTTATAATGGTTATTTTTAGAAAGTTTTCCATTAGGATTGTATACAGGTATATTTCCTTTCATTTTGCTGAGAGCATTATGTGCATCTTTCTTAGAGCTTGGACTCTGGTCCTTCTTAGCATTTCTTCCTTTCTTCTTTGGTGTCAAAGGATGCGCCCTCATCCTTACTTCGTGTGGAAAGTTATGTAAGACTTCTAAAGCACCACTTCTGACTTTTTCCATCTGATTATCATAACTGCCACTTTCATCAGTAGGATCAAGGGTATACAGTGGCAAAACGTGGAGTTGTTCATCATCAGGTTTATTAAATCCACGATGTTTAGTCAGAGTAACAACCTGAAAAAAATAAGAAGTATTCAGAGGTAATAAATTTCTTCTAATAATATAAGTTTTCAAGTATTAATTAGTATATACTTAATAAGATTCTTATGTTAGAGATCAATTAAAAACAGATACATTCTTCAACAATATTCAAAGAAATAAATCTTTATAGGGACATTGGTATCCTTTTAACAAAATTTGAATTTGACAGTATTTGACTAAACAAATACATTGGGGACGTTTAAATTAGATTGTATGCAGCATCTGAGAGAAATCTGCTGAGAATCAGACATTTAAAGTCGTAGATGCACATTAAAACCTATCTATGCAAAATGCTTTAGGTTATTCTTTTGATTTTTTTATAATTAGATGAGTCTAATATTATTATTCATATTATATTACCGGTACATTTATTTTCTTGCATACAATTCATTAAGTTAAAGCTAATATAAACCTACCACTGTACTGCCATTATTCATATTATGAAGATCTTTATGAGCATGAGCACAAAAATCCACACAAGCTGTAACACCGGAGAAAGGTTTTAATTCATTTTTTCCCAGTCTACATTCTTTACCGTCTTTAAATTCACACTGGAAAGAGAGTAATATTAAATTAGAATTATCTCCCTTAGTACAATCTCCTCCATTGTGCAAAATCAAACCCAGTTTGTATAAATAACTCAAAATATAACATCAAAGGTGAGAAGCAAGCTATACTCGTAATCCATTAACCAGATTTTAGACTGTTTGAAACTCACATGCTTAATTAAATGATATATAGTCTAGTCATTATTCCAAATGGAAATATCCACAACATAATGATTGTTGTTTCAAATGCTAACCCATATTTGCTAAAGATTTATTGATGTTAAAGGACAATATTGGTATCATTCATTATCACATATGATAGAACTGGTTTAACACATTCCAAATATAATTTTAACATAGGGATCATTGCTACAATACATGTGTAATTAAAATTTCAAGAAACGGAAGTGATGCAAAAAATGGAAAACAAGAGTTATCCTTTATATAACTGAATGAAGTTGTTATATAAGACTGTGAGAGGATAAGTGTTGGTTAATCATAGTGATTAAACAGTCAGGTTCTCACACTTGATTTGAAGATAGACGATGTTTCACATTTTCGAATGGAAGGTGGCAGCGAATTCCATAGAAATGATGCATTGTACTGAAAAGTCCTTGAACCAAATTTCTTCATATAACAATAGTTTACTCTCAGATCTCAATGACCTTTTTGTTTTGTAGTGAATCAAGAGATTATGAAGATATCTTGGTGCTGTTTTATTTAATGTTTTGTATGTTAGTGATAAAATTTTAAAGTTAATTCTCTCCGCACCCTGAGCCAGTGGAGATTATTTAAGATGGTAGTGATGTGTGATTATGATCTTGTTTTAGTTACAATGTGTGGCGCGTGATTTTGGATCCTTTGCAACTTTGGAATATGTTCTTCAGTAACTCTAGAAAGTATGGCATTGCAGTAGTCAATTCTAGACAGCACAAATGATCAAGCAGTCAGTTATATAAAAGGATAACCTTTGTTTTCCATTTTTTGCGTCACTTCCGTTTCTTCAAATCTTCGTTACGCATCAATCGTTGCAATGATCTCTGTGATAAAATTATATTTGAAATGTGTTTCACCAGTTCTATCACATATGTGATAATGGCTGACACCAATATTGTTCTCTAAGAATAACTTACTTGATTTCCATGTGCTTTAGGTGCAACTGTTTCATACAGTGGGCCAACAACCGATGCTAAAGATTGAAGTTTTGCATCTAATTCTTCTTCCTAATGAACAGAATGTTTAAAATTTATTAAAAAGTTATTAGCCCCCTTTAGCCCATTTTAAAGAAGAGACAATGCAAACTACTTAATTTGGAAAATATTCATTTAAAAATGGGTATTTTCAAATGTGTTGTATCAGAACAATTATCAGAAACCTACTCTACAAACAAAATATTGCATTCTCTGCAATAAAATCTAAACTATACTGCTTAAACCTGCTGATCATCATTTGCATTCTTAGGAAAATATCTAATTTTGGTGCTGGCTTGTTTATATTAATGGAATTGAACAATTATTTATTTGACTGATATTCCTTTTTAGACATTTATCTTTGGCAATATTGTAGTTGCAAGGGATTAATATCATTATTCCCAAGAGGCATGTGCTAAAAAATAGCACTCTATGCTAGTAGTATTATCAGTCTTGTGTAGAACCTTCAAAATCACTCCAGCAAAAACGATTTGAATGGAATGGGGTTTAATGTATCTGCAACACAATATCTTGGTCATTAAGACAATTTTGAATGGACAGCAGCATTTCCACCTACCCTTCTTAATTGCCAACTGTCAAGAGCTCTTTTATGTACATGTGTATCATTTGTACCTCCAGGCAAACTTTCTTTGTCAACCTAGCAGGCACTACGCCTGACATGTAAAGGCCTAGTTTGAGGAACCTTGACAGTTCTTAGACGCTCACGCCAGTATTTAAAACCAGGACATTTAAGTCCAGTGTGACCCCCAGCCAAATGAAGTAGGCCCTATGTAAACATAAAATATATAGGAACCAACATTCTCCATCCCCTTTTAACAAAGTTTTATATGTCGATTCTGCCTGCCAATATGTTTTCTGATATAAAGCAAAAAACAATTCTTACCTTAGAAGTATCTTTAAGTTTAAATTTTCGTACTTCACGACTTCTAGCAAATTTACACCCATTAAAGTACATACTCCATGAACAACCAAATGAAAAAGATGCTCCTTTTCTTACCAGATCCACTCCTTGACATGCACAAGTTTTTCTAAAAAAAATATTTAGACAAAATATTTATTATATGTCAGAGAGAGAGAGAGAGAGAGAGAGAGATGGGGTTTAAAGTACACTGGACACAAACTAGGTCATTTCGGGACTAACATATGGTTCAATTTTATTTCAATAATTCGCTTGTGCATAGGGGTCTTTAGCAGTGGGAGGAAACCGGAGGACCTGAAGAAAACCACGAGGTTGGACAGGCGACCCTACTCCTTGTCACGTACAATCAAAACCATGCCAGTTGACTCAATGACAGACCTTATGATACAGCGTGCACGCGCTAACCATTCGGCAACAGATCTGATGATAACTTTTGTCATCCGAGGAGTCTTCATTCACTAATTTAAAAGATGCATTTAAATTTCATAAAGATCAGATGATAACTTTAGTCATCACAAGGTTCAACAAAGTTAAACAAGGGCAATAACTCTATACTTAATTATTGGAAATTGCTGAAATTCAAAAGTATTCTTCATGTCACTAATTTAAATGATGCGTATAAATATTATACAGATCGTATACAACTTTTGTTGTTAGAGCGTTCACAAAGTGAAACAAGGGCCATAACTCCAAAAGAAATTAACGGAAATTGTTGAAATTCAATGATTCCTTGTTTTACTAATTTAAATGATGCATATAAATTTCATAAAAATCTGATGATAACTTTTGTCATTCGAGCGTTCATAAGGTGAAACAAGGGCCATAACTCTGGAAGACATTAACAGAAATTGCTGAAATTCAATAGATTTATCAATATATCACTAATCTAAATGATGCATATAAATTTCATACAGATCGGATAAAAACTGTTGTTGTTAGAGCGTACACAAGGTTCAATAAAGTGAAACAAGGGCCATAACTCTAGACGTAATTAATGGAAATTGTTGAAATTCAATAGGCATCTTCGTTTCACTAATCTAAATAATGCATATAACTTTCATAGAGATCGGATGATAACTTTTGTCGTTGAAGCATTCACAAGGATCAACAAAGAGGAACAAGGGCCATAAATTAATGGAAATTATTTAAATTAAATAGGCTTCTTCAACTCACTGATGGAAACAACATATATCAATTTCAAATTGTGGACGATGTATGTACGTACGGACAGGCATACATACGAGCGGGAGTGACGGCAATATACGACCACATTTCCATGTGGGCGTATAAAAATGATTCTATATGTAATAATGGCTATGAAACATTATATTTACTTCTCATTGGTACCACATCGTCGGTCTGTTTCAAAACCATTTTTAGTTAGTGATCCCACTAAATGCGAGTAAAGGTCATTGGCTGTGTCAGATGGTACTCCTTCCCATGCTACTAAAACTACCACAATAAATGTAGAATCACAGAAATGTTGTTTTCTATGCTTCACAACACATAAATATTTTTCCTCTGGGCCTGATCTTCTAATAATCTGTAAAAGTTACATGAAAGATTAGCAATAAAATATTAGCAGTGATGTTCCTAGTTTTAGATAATAAAACAAATGTATAGTAACATAACTTACCTATATATTTGAACTTACTTTATGTCATGGAATTGTGCTTTTATTTCTTAGATTTTAACTAGACACAAACATCTATATTTGAATAACATGCCAACAGTGAGGCCGATATCCCCCACTCAATCCCAAAATAATAGTCGACACCCATTGCACATTTATCTTTTTTATGATGCATCTATTAATAAAACTGTTTTTCACTGTTAACCTGAGCAGAAATTGTTAATTATGGAACGCAGTCAAGGTATGTATAATGAAACTACACTTGAAGCTTAAACACTCCCTACTTAATTCAAAGTAGAGTTATTGTGATCTTAAGTCTCGCCAATCAAATTGCTTGTCTCTGCTAAGCCTTAACTGAAAGTCATCAATATTGAACTCAATCAATTAATATCTACACCAAGTTTGAACATTCTACCTCAATTACAAGCAGAGTATTGTGTTCCAAAAAGTGTATTGAACAGATGGCTTAGTTAGCCCAAGCAGAAAATGCTCACCACTGAACCCTGTTAAGACATTCACCTATTTAACACCACACCAGGTCTAACCATTCTAGCTCAGTTCAAAACAGAGTTATTGTGTCCCAAAGTCTTGACCAATGAAACTGTGTATCTATGCTAAGCCTAACCAGACAATGCTCACCATCAAACTCAGTCAAGGTACCCAATGAACAACTACACCCAGTTTGAACATTGTAGCTCAATTAGAAGCAAAGTTTTTGTGTCCCAAAAAGTGTGACAGACAGATAATTCAACACTATGGAGGAACAGTATTGGAATATAACTTGCGCTGTTGACATTTGATTCTAATATACTTAGTGACACAAAAAGGGAAATATCGATTGCTTGAACAGAAAACATATGGACTAGTACAACCATTTTTTGAGACACATACCCAGAAATGACTGAATGAATTAGAAAAACAGTCCAGCAGAAAATGATTCCCCACAATAACCCCATGTTATCCTAATCAGTACAATTTTGATTGGTGAGTCTGAATAAACTAAGAAACTACATGCAATTTTATTCTTGATATCTATGTATCTATTGTGGTAGTTATTAATTAGTAATAAGAATTACCCATTTAGCTATAGGACAACCCTGGCTACTCTTGCCTTCTTTACCAGTATAAACAATTTTCTCTATTCTTAGAGCAGTTCCAGATACACCAGTTCTGAAAAGTAATTGAGGAAGTATAAGTACATGTACCATACATAGTTTAATGGTCATATTTATAACCAAATATACATTAGTTACCATGTTTTATATTAACTACTAAAATGTAATTTGAACAAATCTAACCTATTAATAACATATTAAAAATTTTGTTTTACATGCATGATAGCCCCATACAATTAATTTTCTGCCAACTAAAATCTGGTTAATTTAATGGCTGGATGATTTGGATAAAACCTCTTAACCTTTTAGTGTAGTGGATTAACCTATGCATGACTCAGGAGAAAATATATAAATTGAACACTTCTTCTGTATGGTCATTTGTCTGCAATATAACTCAAGAGGGAAGCGGACGTTAAGCCTTAAGGAACAAACGAACGATGACTGGTCATTTTCAATGATATCACGTTGGTGGAAGTAGACATTAAATGAAGCTATTTTTCCACTTAATCCTGGTCAATTTATGAATCTTGTTTTTTTTGGGGGTTTTTTTTGGAGGGGAGGGGGGGATGAAACATTAACATTGCTACTATTGTGGCCTTAAAATCACAATAAAGTCATAGAAGAAAAAAATTCTCCTCCCACATAAATATTACCAGTTGCTATATCTTACATACCGGTAGAAACTAATCAGTTTAAATAAGGGCTCACCTGCCAGTCCTACTTGAAATTATAATAATTGACCCTTCCAATCCCATAATAATCTACTTACATAATTTTTCTGTATTCCTCAAGTAAAATAAGCACCATGACTACTATGGAATTAAATTAAATGTGATATTTTAAGTCTACTTTAATTTGTAACAACCCCTATACTATAAGTGACAGTGGCAAAATATCATAAACTACTTTTCAACCCAACAAGGGTTCCACATTTCAAATTATTTTTTAAGTTCCCAGGCTGTTAATGAAAATGTAAATGAACTTACTGTTTTTCTAACTGTTCACGAACAGACTGTATAGATTTACCAGAGCCTAACTGAGTATAATAAGGTCCTTCTTCTACTTCATTTATCATTTCTTAATAAATAAAATTGTTTAAAAATTAATAATTATTCACCAGGGCACTGTTTTTTTCATATTGGCCAATTTCTGATTAAAAGGAAATGAAACTGGTGAATTGGCAGATTAGACAACGCTCTCCAATCGGTTATTTTAAATAATTTGTGTAAAAATGGTTAAAATAGGCTTACGAATTGCATCAATACCAAAACTTATTAGGTTTCAGACACAACTTTAAAGTACCTGCCTTGTTCTTAAGGAGGAATATTTTGTGGTATTGATTATCTTTTTGCTAACGGCCTAGTTTACTAAGTTTACAAAGTTAATGTCGAGGTCAGGTATTAATTGTTTACTGAAATCAGGTTGCATGCAAATATTATATTTTCTAAATTGTGTGGCATTAATACAAATTGCAAGCATTGGTGTCTTTCAGGTATTGAGAAAGAATATAATTTCTTACCATTGGGTAAACAGTTACAACTAGGTATTTCCGGACGATTATTCTTCAGCCTATCTAGTCTCTCCTCTTCAGGAGATGCAAAGGGGCCGGGAGGCACAGGTGGGGGCTTTGTCAAACCATTTGCCCCATGTAACTTTGGCTTCTTCACTTTAGGCTGTTTTGTAACTCCTGTGGGTCGTATGATGTTTGGATCGATTAAAGGATTTTTCTTTCCCACTTTATTATTCACATTTTTATTCATACTCATATCATGAATGTCATGCCATGATGATGATCGTTTCAATTGTCCTGAGGATTCTGGCATATGCTGAGAAGTTCTCCCTTGATTTTCATGCACAAATGTTTTTGTAAATAAACTATTGATAGAGGCTTCGAGATTATTTAATAGAGCACCTTCTGTAGTTGGTTCTTTACAGCCACTAAGATATTGTTCTAAATCCATTTCACAATTTTCACTTTTAATAATAGGCGAGGAAAATTTGGGAAAATTAACACTGTCTTTAATTGTGGATTCAAAAGAATCTGTTTTTAGCACATTAAGAATTTTTCTATCATCTTTCAGATGTGTAATAGCACTATTATTTATAGATGGTCCATTTTTCACATGCGAATTTGCTGCCATGAATTGCTGCATATTTTGAGAGGAACTAAAATGAGAATTGTTACTATTTTCGTTACTGTGTGATATAGTACCATTGATGTCACCATGATGAAGGTGGACTCGATTTTGACAATTTGGGGAAATAGCACCATGAGATTTGCAATCTGTACAGCACAAGACATCATTTTGATTAACTTTTAAATTTGCTGCTTGTGAATGTTCATTTTTTTCTTGAGAATTTCCTGAAAGTGTTCCAGAATTTGATAATGAAGATGGTGTTGACAATTCAGATTCTCCTGTTCTTACTGAACTTTGATATGTTTGATCAGATTGCTGTGGTATTTCTGTTGAATAGTACGGCGTTAAGATCGGACGTTGCAAATTGCAACCCGCACCGTTTAGTGGATCAGTTATCACATTATGCACTTTATTTGATGACGTCACAGGCAAATTTTTGGATAAAAATAAATCTGAATTTAAATTAGCTGGTAGATGTTTTGGTTGCATACCGATATTCATTTTGTTCTGATCAACAGTAGAAGCACTATTTTGAAAGTTGCCTTGAAATGGTGAATGAGTTAAATTAATATCATTAGGCCTACTATTAGTATTAGAGTTTGGGAACACAGAATAAGAATTTTCCAATATATTAGAACTGGATAACATTTTTTCCACAGTTTTCTTCCTTTTCTTCTTCTTAACTTTCAACTCTCCACTTTGTCCTTCATTTTTGGTATCCACAGCATCTGACCTGCTATTTGTCATGGACAGCATTTCACTCATGGAGTACATTTTAGAATTAACATTAATACTCGCATTAAAAGTATCTTGAAGGACTCCTGGAGAAAAAGTATCTTGTTCATCTGTAAATTCATATGGAGATGTAGGTTTTATAACAGACTGAATTTGCTGATTTAAAAATGGAGATATTTTATCAATGGGTGAACTTGAAAGAGTTGGAGGGTTTGGTAGTGGAGCTGACACTGACTTCAGTTTTTTATCTCCACTTGAGTGAACTTGTTTTTTAGGTTTAGATTCATCTTTAGCCTTGGACTCTCGAATCATTCTAGCTAATTCTGGATTGATTTCATCCAGGCTCACATCTGGAAAGGGAAGCACCCCTCTCTTCCGTCTGCATTCTTTTAGTTTACCAACTGACTTTTTTTTCGCTGGTTTCGATGGTTTGGGAAGTGAATCAGGTGGTTTAAATTCATTCATCTCATTTTGAAAATTAAAAGGATCTTTGGACTGCTGCTGTTTCAGCTTCTGAATCTCCTCAGATGATGGTGGTAGAGCAGGAGAGCCTGGAATTGCTGAACCGAGTGAAGAAGCAAGACCAATAGAAGATGTTGAAGAAGAAAAAGGTGATTGAACAGGACTATAATTTATAATAGGAGATGGGGGTTGTGATGATGATGATGTACTTTGTACAGTTGCAGGAGAATTGTTGGTACTTCGAATCATATTATCCCATGGTGACCAAGATCTTGAGGCTGGTCTACTAGAACTTTTAGAAACATTAGCAGCCGTTAAAGGCTGTGATATGCTATCACTTGTTCCCGAAGGAGAGAAATAATTAAGACCAATATCACGCTGAGAGACTGTTGGTCTATTTTCAGTATCATCAATGGAATTGTCCACTAGACTGTGCAAGGAACCTCTTGAAGAAGGATTACTGTTAATACTTTCTGAAGATATTGCCCTATTTTTATTAAAAGCATCCATAGCTCCATTCATTAAAGCACCATTTGTATTGTAATTAAATAATTTATGTTGAGGAATATCTGAAAATGGTAGATACGATGATGAGCTATGTAGAGGATTTATTGCACTTGTGTCCATCATATTCTGCGGAAACTGTTTGTGCTCTGTGGATGACCTTGTATGGTTTAAGGATGATGTACTTGTTACATTTGGTCCATACATCTGGTGTGTTGAAAGACTTCCACCATAATTCAAATTCTGAAAATATATCACATAAAAATATATTAATAAAACTGAGTAATTCTGGGACTAACATGTAGCAAATTTTCCTATCAGGTTAATGTGCTGGTCTATTTAGGTTTAAGGCAGAACCTGTAAAAAAGCTACGAAATCAAGTAACTGACCCTACTCGATATGTGCATTTGTGGGATTGTGCTTCTCACTGCGCACTGACAACAGACCCAAACCGTACAAAGCTTCAGACCACAAAAGTTTGGTATTATTAAAAGATTTCAGAAATAAAATAATGATGCTCTCATCATGTTCTTTACTAGATAGTTTTATAATGATCATTTTTAAGAGTAAGAGTACAAATATATGTGAAATTCTCATCTTATGTAGACAGTTATGTTTGTTTTAATTTATTTAAATCTTACTCTTTTAAAGATTCATTATGTGAGATCTAGATAGGAGCTGACAGTTCTCGCTATAATAGTTTTAAAAATTGATAATGAAAAATGAATATATTGAAAATTTCAGTAAAATTACTTTACTCTGAGCGAAGTTTTGGCTGTTTGGAGAAAAGTCTTGATTGTCATTGTTACCATTTTAGATAGTAAATAAAGTTTTGATTATCCATTTTTCAATTAAATTAGTAAATGACAATCTTCTTTCAATCCACTGAAAATCATGAGCATTCTATACTCTTGAAGAGTTGATTATGTCTTGTCATTGTTAATAATCAATGCAACATTTAAGGCCAAAAGAAAGACTGGCAATGGGCAGATTTAGCTCTTACATAATGCATCTTTAGAGAAACACTTTGTTTCATTATGAACAGAGTCTCTATATATCAACAAAATCACATAACAGATTAAAAATCTCCTTATATGGATATTGGATACAATAACATTATAGAATAGACCAGTAACTTAAAAAACATTTTTTATTGCTTAAACCAATATTATCATCAATGACAGATAAAAGCTTCCTTTATATTAAATTTATTTTACATTACAGAATATACACTTATATTAACAAGATTAAAAATTCCTTTATTATATAGATAAAGTTTTAGATTTATTGTAGGTTTAAATAGACATTTAAAGCAAGTTCTATAAAGAAAAGAACATAAAAGCCAATCCATTTATTTTTTATATCTATTCAAATGCAGTCATGAATGTAGTAATATAAATTAATTTTCATAAGAAATGTACGGTACAGTGAATGTGAATACAACCAGAATATCTAGTATTCCACAAAAAAATTTATCTTTACATAGGCCTATTACAGTGCATGATTTGCATTTTTCAGAAAATTTCAAATTTCTCACAGGTTAAACCATGCTAATATGTACTCAAATTAATTTAGTTAAGAAAACAAAATCAAAATAATGAACTCTTGATACTCTCCCGGCTAGAATTCAATCAGATTAAAAACATGTCCATCAATTAGATTTCAAGCAACATAGAGATAGCGGAGGGTTCTTTACACAGGGAACAACATAGATTGATGGGATCTTAATTCATCATATCTTCATAAATACTGAACGGAATTGAACCACAATCTATAGATCACTAAATGCCTTTCAGTATTAATTTGACATCCTCTGCATACCATATAAACAAGCCAACGCCATTACATATGGCTCTTTATAATCCAATTGAATCCAAGTTAGAAGATTAACTACCGTTGTTTTATTTTCTTGTGTACATTATAGTTTTAGTTAAGTTGTGAAAAATGAAGAATTATACTATATTATACATTGTCTGTAAAATGTAAATGACAATCAGGTAATTTAAACTCTGTGAAAACTACAAAAAAATTTGAACAACTATTAAATTGTAAGTTAATAGCTTCTCAAATCTCTCTCAAATTATTCATACAGTCTCATTTAATCATATTCTGTATGAAAAATTAAAGATAATTTTTTTCACAATCGCTCATAATATCTTTTTAAATCATTAAGCAATCAGACACTAACCCTACTATACAATTTCTGAATAATTTCAATACGTAAAAAATAATATTGGCTATTATTTGCCAATACACAATCATCATTATCATTTTGCTATTATCAGATCGAGTGCTGTAATGTAATCCTCAAATCTCCTCAAATATAATAAAAAAGATACATTAAACCAAATAGAAAACTGGGATTAAGTCAAATTATTAAAAAATCCATTTTATTTGGGTGTTTACTCAAAAAACGAGTACAAAAATATCTACTTAATATAATCATAATATTCACCAGTAAGTGGCAGCTGCCATGACAGTATAAATCTACTCCATTTCTAGTAAAATATGGGGGATTTGTTTTCAGTGTAGTACAGTAGTAGCTCAAGTTGTTGGAGTGAACAAAGACAGCCAGCAATCATAGAAAGCTTTCTATTGATCAATGGCTACATCCCTGCAGATGACTGACTATCTCAACCAATCCACACCATTCCCTACCATTCCCTTGCCTGAATAATTAATTTTTTAACTTGCGATAAATTAATCAATAAAAGCTGGGAGATGGTTGACTATAAATGCCTTCTGTATTTACAGTGTTTCAAATGAAGAGTTATTAATAGAAGGATATTAGCTTCAGGCCATGTAAACACAAGTGTTGGCCTCCATTTTGTAGAGAAAAAGCACACAGTACAGCATATAGTTTATAACCTAAACATAGGCTACCAATACATCTACCTCCTAATATATAATATTGTTTATATCCTTAAAATAGAGGTAAAAACTCTGGTTACAAACATCCTGACCTTGACACAAAGAAACATGTCAGCTAATTATTGTGGGCCTTTGTATTCCCAACAATCATTCTGACCCCTAAGTTTTACAGAAAAAAAATTTGAATATAATGCTTATTTGCAATCCAATTTAAAATATATCATCATATTAGCAAGCTAGAAAATCCATGTGCAAAGTTTTATGATATCTAAATCATCTAAATCTCCTAATTATCTCCTAGTTGTCTTCGTTAAACAGATCTCTTGAGTGATTTTGAACGATGTTCGCTGTTTTATATAATAGTTACAAGAGAAATGGTTAACTTATGTCTGTGATATGCCTGTGATTTTTCTAACTTTTGATTGTTTCTAATTCAGAAACATTTAACATAACCGCATGATTACATCATGTCAAGTGGGAATTTCCCTCTTTATTCGGGCACACTGGGATAGCAGTCAAGGTCACCCAAATACGTAGTGTGACCCATTTATGAAGGTTTGTTTATGTTTGTGCCAATACAACAGCCAAGCTTTCTTCTTTTTTTTCTCTCTTTAATTTTCTTTGGAAAATGAATGGAACATATAACGTCTGAATCATACCTTACAAAATGTTTCACGGAAGAAAACATATATCTTCAAACTTCTGCTGAACGCGCAGTCATTAATTTGCGTGAAATACAGTATCTAGTTTTCTTAATCCTGCTATGCCAGAAAATCAATTTAAGACATTGATATAAACTGAATAACGGCATAGATAGTTATATGGATGATATAGGAATTTTATCATTAAATCAACAAGGTGCAGAATAGACGCTAATTTGTTACAGCTGTATACATATATGTATGTAAATATTTTCAATTAGGTCAACACTGCCTGCGCTTTAATGTAGGTCGATATGGGAAATCCCCTTTTACCGATATAGCTTGTCGTGCAATAACACTACACAGACAATGATCTGGACTATGTTTTTATTTCGAACAAGACTACGAGTCGTGTAAATGACTAGTATAACTGACCTGAACTGTGCATGTCGACAACCAGATAAAACAGTTTGAATCTTTAAACTAGAGCAGCAACGAAACCTGACAATACGCTTATTACTCATCCTAATCATTTTTCTAAAATATTCAGCTATCGGTTAATCGTATTTAGCACAAGATTAATATAGCATAATGTACATATCAACTAACATACAGTATAACATATTATACGTTTCATTTGAAACTCTATTGTATTTGTCTAGCAAAACCCGACCCCAACCCACCCACCCCTAGAAAAAAACTCCATTGAGAAATCAGGTTCTACGTCTACTCATCACTAACTAGGTCATTCTGGGAATAACATATGTTTCAATATTAGCAGTGGGAGAAAAACCAGAGGACTCAAAGAAAACCCATGTGGTTGGAAAGACGACTCTACTACTTGTCACTTACAAGCTTGGAATCGAAACCATGCCGCTTTACCCAATGACAGACCTTATGTTCCAAAGCGCACTCACTCAACCCATTGAGTAAGAGCTGGACAAATTGTGTATTAATACAATTTTCATGTTTGGTGTATAACAAGTAACTGTGTTTTTATCAAGTATATTAAAAATTGTAATTAATATGCTGGTAAAAAGTAAGTTAAACATACATTATGCGAGAGCTAAATCTGCCTACTGCAGGTCTTTCTTTAGACTTGAAATGTTTTCTAAATTATTAATTACACATTAATTAACTGATCCAGGCCATAATCAACTCTCGGTGTCATCGGAATTCTCCGATATTAAATAGATTAGAACATTTCAGCCATATTTAGATTTAAGCTAAAAATTGGCGGAGCGATACTTAGCTTCAACAACCAGTACATTGGTTGAAATTATTGTACACGTCTTGTCAAACCTCCAAAGGCTAATATCTTAGCTCGCAATGAAGTAATTTGAATGAAATTTTCAAATTATTCATTTTACATTATCTATTTTCGAACTATTATAGCAAGAATGGCTAGCTCTTTATCTAAATCTTACATTCTATAATTTCCTTATTACAGTTTCATGCAGGGTACTTTTCAGAGCTAAATAGTTTGACAGTAATATTGACTTACAGGTCAGTTGTTTTTTTATCATCACAGATTAAGAGCTTTGAGCGTGGAATTGTGACGGTGATGCCAATTATTACCAAAAATTTTAGGTTTAAGTGGATTTTGGTTACATTTATTGGTATGTATGTTAATTATAAGAGAATTAATGGTTCCGGAGAGACAGAGAGAGAGAGAGAGAGAGAGAGAGAGAGAGAGAGAGAGAGAGGTTTCACGTCCACTTGACACAGACTAGATCATTTTGGGACTAACATATGGTTTAATTTTATTTCAATAATTTGATTGTGCAGTGGGAGGAAACCGGAGGACCCTGAGAAAACCCATGAGGTTGGACAGGCAACCCTACTCCTTGTCAGGTACAACCGGGGATTCGAAACCACTTCGGTTGACTCAATGACAGGCCTAATGATACAGCGCGCATGTGCTAACCATTCGGCCATCCAACCCCTGGAATTAATGGTTCTATTAGTAGACAAAGTTGTTATATCTATAGGTAAAGTAACTCTTTATGTATGAATTTACAACGGTTGAGGTAACAGAAAATACATCTATGTAAAAACACACATGACATACTCAAATGACATACACAAATGTGTTTTCTACTGAGGAAATTCTTCTGGAAATTTAAAGGTGTTTTTTAAATTTTATTTTGAGATATGGTTGATACAGTCAACATTTCAAAAATAAAACTAAAAGCAGTAAACTTTGTTTTAGGAAATGACACTGCCTAATAACAAACCATATACTAGAGTACAACAAACCTTGTTAAATGTGAGTGAAGTGCCATCAGCTGTTCAAGAAAGAGTAAACATACACTGCCTTGTGCAAAAAACCCATCGCTAGTTTTAGCCAAATGGCTTGATAGTTTGAACCAACATTTCAGAAGATGAAGCTACTGAATTTACAATGACCTTAGAGCCAAATGTCATCTGATCAAATTTTAATATAACCAGTGGTTGTCAGGCAAGATACACATTTTGCAAGAGATGGACAGAAAACAAGCTAAAAAACAAAGTGATTTTTCGTACAATCAGGGGCCATAATCCAAAAAGTTATGGTCTGAAATGTGCAAATATTGAGAGGGACTGAGATCTGTGGGATATAAAGATATATTTTAAGTTTTATCAAAATTGGATAAAAATTGTGACCTCTACAGGGTCTACAACCTTCGTATTACATACTTTTACACAATTTTCGTACAATGAGTGGCCATTTTGTCAGACAATTTTGTTTTGATTTTCTGGAAATTTGAGAGGGAGAGAGAGAAATGGGGTTTACCGTCCACTCAACACAAACTATGCCATTTTGGGACTAACATATGGTTCAATTTTATTTCAAAAATTTGCTTAACCATAGCAGTGAGAGGGAGGAAAGCGGAGGACCCGGAGAAAAGCCACGAGGTTGGAAGGCGACCCTACTCCTTGTCACGTACAACCAGGGAATCGAAACAACGCCAGTTGGCTCAATGACACACCTTATGATACAGCGCGCATATGCTAACTATTCGGCCATCCAACACCCTCCCAAAATTCGAATTCAAACTTCATTATGGTGGAATGATGATATATTGAAACGTTTTTTAAAATCGGATAAAAATTATGACCGTTAGGGAATCCACAAACTAAATAAACAGGATTATGCGCAAATAATGAAAGGAATCGAGAGCTTTGGGACATAAACATTATTTTAAGTTTCATCAAAGTCTGATAACAATTATAAACTACCGGGCAAAAGGAAGTTGAGTCTGGTTCGTGATTATTTGAACAATGTTAACGTCCACACATTACCTTGGCCAGCATGTTCTCCCGACATGAACCCAATAGAGCACCTATGGGATCATCTTGATCAGCAACTGAGTAACAGACACCTCCCGCAAACCGACATCAGTTTGAGCAAGTTCTAAATTGCAAGAATGGCACAGGATTCCTAATGACCTCATAAGACAGCTGATGACATCCTTTGGCAAGTATGGATGCCCACGTCAGCCACACACGCTATTAATGTTGTGTCTTGTCAAATGATCAGACTGCATAAGGACTTATCTGAGGACTTCTCCTTGACTCATGTGTGTGTAATTATTTATCTAGACCCCATTGATAGGAGGGTTGGATGGCCGAATGGTTAGCACGTGCGTGCTGTATCATAAGGCCTGTCATTGAGTCAACTGGCATGGTTTCGAATCCCCGGTTGTACGTGACAAGGAGTAGGGTTGCCTGTCCAACCTTGTGGGTTTTCCCCGGGTCCTCTGGTTTCCTCCAACTGCTAAAGACCCCTACACGCAAGCGAATTATTGAAATAAAATTAAACCATATGTTAGTCCCGAAATGACCTAGTTTGTGTCGAGTGACATTAAACCCCATTTCTCTCTATAGACCCCATATTTAACCCTGGCTTGTGGCCAGTACACTATTGCTAATGTTTTGATTTTTGCTCCAGAAATCAGAAACTTATTCTTCTCAATAAAACATTCATCATTTAAATAAAAGCTGTCTTTTTCTTTTTTATGGAACATGTACACAGTCTGTCAATTTTCTTTTGCCCAGTAGTTTACTAATTAAATCTTTCCAATAAGTTTTGATCGAGTAATATTTTGCAATCAAATTTTAAAGGGTAAAGAAATAATATAAAATATCATAATTTTGTTCCTTTAAATTAGTTATAATATCTAGTTTAATACATACCTCTAAAGATGAAGATGATTTCATCCCAGGTATATCTTTCCAGGAATTGATGTTAGGTGTTTTTGTATCTATTTGTGTCAAAGACACAGACCGTACTAGATCACTTGATAATCCATGTGGTAGGTGTGATTGTCCAGGATAATGTCCTGGTCTAGGATTTATGGTATTGATATTGTGTTGAAAACGCATGCCTTCTGATGAATTGCTGCCATGAGACAGTGGGAGAGATCGAGGCATTGAAGATTGGAAACCATCTTTGTGACTTCCATGGAATTTGCCTGGTTGCAACAACTGTGACACTGCTGCTGCACGATTTGTCAACAGGTCTGCTACAAGAGGTTCTCCAGCAGCTGATAATTGTCCAGGCAGTGAAGAGTAGCCATATGCAGGAGGTTGGCCGTAGGGAAAAAACTGCTGCCAGGGACTAGCTTCAGATCCTGGTCTCCATCCTGTGTCCTGCTTGGCACCATCCAAATCCATCACATCACCTTACCATTACACTCTGTGAAAATAAAAAATAACTTTTATGATCAGGCACAGATTCAAGAATTTTTGGATTGTGGAGGGACCAACAGAAAAACAGCAGCTTTCCTGTACGAAGAACAGGGAAAGTTGAAAATCTTTTATAATTTTGTTTCTCTAGACCAGGGATGGCCAACCTCCGGCGCATGCACCAAACGTGGTGTATTTCCTGATTAGAAGTTGTGTATTGCATCCCTGTGATATTAATATGTTTTTATTGAAGTAGACGGGGCATGGTTTGTAAAAAGTTGGCCACCCCTACCCTAGACCATCAAAAACACACATGAAAACCACCATTCGACCTTCTAATTGACATATCTCAGTAAAAAAAAGAGAAATATTTTTTTTTTTGTTATTTTTATTTTTAACACATTTTTCATATTATGAACTTACTAATTACTTTCAGTTCAGAATAATTTTTGGTTGATTATCCTCCATTATTATGATACCATTAGAAGAAAAATTAATTTATTTTCCTGGTGAAAGTGGTAATACCTCTAGGTGAGATGGGGCCCTAGGAACACCACCATCCACAATAATTTACAAAAATGTGTTATTAGTATAAAAATTGTCTCTGTGACAAGATACAGGAACCCCATTTTGTCTCACCCCACCCCATATGAATTTCATGCTTATAAAGATGACCCTCACATCAAGTTAAAACATTCTTGTGTATTACATGTACTATATGGATTTATTTTTACCTTCATCAATGGATTACATTATTGTTATGTCTTATTACCATAGAAACAGACCATAACAATGTTGATAACAAGGTCAAAGTGATAGATAAATGATCGTGTTTACACCTGTGTACTATGTAAAAGATAATACAGCATTTTGGAAATGTTACGCTTGATTTCTCACATGATTTCTGTTTGCCATCACATTATTTAAGGCACTCATATCATGGTTAAATTCTTTGTTTTTATTATCCCTTTCATTATATAGAACCCAGTCACCCTGTCAAGGCTCACAAATTTTCCGCAGGACCTAGTGACCCAGCCAATTCTATGCTTAGATTAGCCCAGAATATCTGAATATCAAAGACCACACCCAGTGGTGGATCCAAGTGCCCCCGACCCCACTAGATAACTCTATGAAATCATGGTTTTGAGCGCCATTTGTAATAAACAAAGAAAACATATCCCAGAAGATGATGTGAAAGTAATTAAAAGAGACCAATTCACAAACGACCAAACATACGCCCACAGCAGCTAAGTCATCCGGGGAGTCAACAAGGGTTGTCACATATCTTTTACTATAGCCAGAAGTGAAAACATTTACAACACACTAAAATCTAACAACCCATTTGGCTTCTAATTCTGCCCTATTCTAACATTTAGCATACAAAACATACATTATCAATTTCCATAATCATTGGAAATCGTTGACTGGCTTCTTCATCTCATGACCTTAAACATTGTGTATAAATTTTATGTCAATCGGATATTAACTTTAGCCTCCAGAGTGTCCACAATATTTTTCAAAGTGATCAAGGGCCATAAATCTGGCAATAATTATCAGAAATCGTTGAAAATCAATAGGCTCGTTGTCTGATGACCTTAAACACTGTGTATGAATTTGAAGTCAATCGGATATTAACTTTAGCCTCTAGAGCATCCACAAGATTTTTCAAAGTGATCAAGGGCCTTAACTCTGGCAGTAATTATCGGAAATTGGTGAAAAGCAATAGGGTTCTTCGTCTCATGACCTTAAAGTCATTTAGATATTAACTTTAGCCTATAAAGCGTCCACTATTGCATAGTGGACGCTAGACCGACGGACCTACGGACGGGGGCGACGACAATATACGACCACATTTCAATGTGGCCGTATAAACAAATGTGTCGAATGGACTCAGGATTTAGAGCTGTTTGTGTATTTCTTGGAACATAATTGATTAAAATAACAATAAATTTTAAACATAGAATGTAAAACACATTATACACACTCAAATTAAAGTTTCGTATATTTCAAAGTTCTAAAACATAGAGCTATACCTCTTTTAATACAAATTCCAGGGAACAAGCAAAAATGTTACCTCAAATGTCACAAAATCAAAAATTCTTTAGCAGAAATAATTAGAGATATCGCTGTAAACAATAAATCTTTAAAAAGACACATTTCACTGTTTATAAAGATATGTTTTAAAGATACTATTGTACACATAAATAAATTCATGTCTATATTGCACACAGTACAAAATATTTGTTTGTTGATAATCGTCATTACATTTCAACTTTTAAAGAAAACCACGATGAGCTATTTGGAAACTCTTATCACGTTAATGTTTGTAAGAGGCTAGTCATGTGCTGAGAGTCCTCTAAATTCTGATGGGATGGGCTTGTTTTCTGCCAACTAACTGACCTATATTCTAATTTAAGAATAAGGGGATTTCCACTGATTATTACACACCTTGTACGAAAATAAATATTAAAACAATATATTTGTTAAATCACTGATGATAGCTTTTACGCAAGGAAGATTATAAAATAACTTTAGTTTGTTATTCACGATTATTAAAAACCTTAGTTTGTTATTCACAATTCTGATGATCGATTAATAAAAAAATTTGCCAACAAATAGGTCAATGGTTACGGTATGTATATCAGTACGATACGGTACATCAATACACATCAAAAGACAAGCAGTAATTACACAATGCCAATTTTATTAAAAAAAAATAACAAATCTGGTATAAATAACAAATCTGTTATATATCTTAAGTTCCTTGCATCAAGATACAGAGTTGGTTACACAAGACGATGACGTAAATCTTATTTCAGAACACGTAAATTTTATTTCAGAATACGGCAAAAAATTAGTAATATATCAAGAGATTTCCTATAAATAGATAGACAATTTTTATCTATCGCTTTTATTTTAGTGTGGTTTAACCAACTATATAGGTCAATGTTATGTAATTGCATCTATTAGCGTCTCCAATCATTTCTAAACAAAAATGACCTTGACCTATATCGAGTAGGGGAATTCCCAGCCGGCTGAATAATTTGTTTTACCACTGTATCAAAAACATGTTTAGTATGTCAATCCTGTATTTTGATAAGAACTGACAATCAATTTTTTTGATCAATTTTCACAGTGATTAAAACATTAAGAATAGAATGAAAAATATAGCTTCACAGACGTAGTTTTTCTTATTACACGGTATTTTTAACAGAATATCTTTTTTACTATGAATTGTCCTGTATGTGTTTTGGAAACTAAATGAGGCTTAGGCCTTAATACTGCACAGATTTTAAATTTAGAAATCTTTATTGTAGCGGGTATCCTTACCACCAGATTTCTCTTATAAAGCTACTTGTTTCGTTCTTATGGGATTATTAAGCAAATAGATTTATTTCTTAACGGACAAAACAACAATGTAATTGTAATTATATTTTTGTTCACATGGAATTGACCAAATACTTGTTAAAAAGACAAGCTAAATTTCATTATTTGTCTGATGTTTTCTAGAGCTTACTCTTTTTTAAAAAATCATTCATATTTACTTTGTACGGAAGCATATACGGTCATAAAAAATTTTGTAGAAGATCTTGACATTCTGCGATCCTGTGAAACTTTCTGAAGATCCTGAGATAGGCTACTTATTTCTTGAGATCTCAATTAAATTTTCTCAAGATCCCCGGATGATTTACACAAGATCTCAAGGAAATTTACACTTATTAACTATATTTCTCAAGATCGTCAACATAGGATGGGAGAATCTCAAGAAAATTATCAGGGGATCTGGAGAACATCTAATTGGGATCTCAAGAAAACATCCAAGGATCGCAGAATGTAAAGATCTTCTACAAAATTTTGCATGACCCCTATATGCTTCCGTAACATTATGCATTGTGATAAAATTTGTTTTATTTTTGTCAGTCCCGATATGACCTAGTTTGTGTCAAGTGACCTTAAACCCCTCTCTCTCTCTTTCTCTCTCTCTCTCTCTCTCTCTCTCTCTCTCTATTTTGTTAAAATTATATTTGACTTTAATTTTTATGCAATTACTTTACAAATTACTGTGTGTAGTATTTTATTTATCACAAAACTGGTCTTTTAGGTATTACAGATCTGTTAAATGGCATCACATTATTACACAGTTCAAAATTATGCTTCCTATCCAGCTCCTCTGAACACTCCTTTAACCAATAAAAAAGGCAAGTAACATCAGGATGCAATTAGTCATTATGAGATTCTACATGATCCAAATAAAATAACAATTCTATCTTTGTGAGGGTGGTATGAATATGAAGTGATACCCCATAGTTACCAAAGGTGAAATATCTCATATTCACCAGTTTATATTTCCTGAATGTGAAAACACCCCTGCAATATTACTGTGCATTATTATCTGATATACACTGGTCTAGATATTCAGTAGGTCATGTATTACCATGGAACTTTATAATCCCCTTTGACCTCATTAATCAACTTTAAAGGGATTGGGGGCAGATAATTAATTTATGAGGATAAACTTGATGATACTAATTAGTATCAATTTAATAATAAGGAAATGGATATTATGCAAATTAAGGAGTTTAATGAATTTATGAAACTATGCAATTGAGTGCTACAAAAAAAAAAAGAGTTCACATGGGTGTCAAACTTCAATTTTTACTCAGAGCACATATATGAAACACAACATAGTTAATGGGAGAAGATTGTATATTTCACTGAAACCGACCTGTGTAGAATGACAGCTGGAATTATAGTCTGTTTTTATATTCATAGAATATAGGTCGTTCTTGTAAAACTGAAATGAAGTCATTAGGTCCAAGTAGAGGATGTAATATACTTGTAAACACAAGTCCACAAATCTGACACGTATAAAGGATATAATTATGATGTGAAACATACTGGCGTATTTTTCACCATTGTGACATTGTCTGTAGTTCATGTGGCTATTTTTAGCTCGTTGGTGATGATATAGAAATGCTCAGTTTTGACCTTCTTTCATTTACAGTTTTGGCTAACAGTAAAAACATTTAAACTGAGCGATACTCTGACAGGAGGGTTCACGATGTTGATTTGCACTAAGTGATACACATTTGGGACAGTGATAATGCATAGCTAGACGTCTGGGGCGTCAGATGTAACCAAAAGTATTTATGTCTATTCAAGCACGAATGCATTGAGGTCGACCATATTGAAATACCCTATTAGTAAACAGAGGAGAACATTGTCAAAATTAACTATAGATTCCCCTTCACGTGCATTATTTTCATGTTTTAAAATGATAAGGGTGTTATAAAAACATTAACCGTTACCTTTGCGAGTCCGTAATGCCGACTAAAGGTGATTTACAATCAATCCAAGCTTATATCAGCCAGTTACTTCAACCCATACAATGCACTAACCAAGGCAGACGTCACGTGATCAGACAGGGCAATTTCACTCGTTCGTTCGCGTTACTCGGCACGTCGTTTACTCTAATATCAAAGAAATAGCATTACCATCTACTATGGAATATACAACTGAAACTTATTTGCCGCCTTTTGTTATAGAGACTGTAAACACTTACTATATTCAAATTTAAATAAACAATTTATTTTTTAAAAAAATGCATTCTTTAAGTTTGATGACGAATAATATTCTACGAATATATTTATGACAAACTCTGTTTCTTATTCTTGGAAATTATTATCCCTCCCCACCCCCGCTCATTTATCGGGAAGGCCGCGGCCTCTAAATATAATTTGAGTTCTATATTAAATGTATTGCAAAATATAAACATGATTTCCAGTTTTTATTTAAAACTTAGTTCGGCTTTAATATGGCCTTTAAACACTTAATATATTCAAAACTTTTCTGTAAATAAAACTTTAATTTACAAAAAAATAAAACAATCTTTAAATATGGTGACAAATAACATTCTTGGAATAGATGACAAACTTAGTTTCTTATCCTGGGTAATTATAAGAGAAAAAAAACCAACGTGTATATTAAAAATACTTTTTTTCATGTAATATTAATATCATCAAATAAAGTAGTCGTCGGTTTCCAAATGTAATTCGAGTTTTATATCAAATGTTGTGCAAAAAACTAATATGATTTTCAAATTCTTTTAATAGTTTTGTTAGAGAATTTAGTATGAATACTTCGTGTTTACTATATTTGTGTTACGGTGGATGACACAGAAGCTGAGTAGAAGTCTAAATCCATATATTGATGTAAACCTGTATATTATAAACCTACGTTCAATACACAAACCTGTTCTTGTTTAATACACACTTATGTATATAGGCCATTAAGACCGATAAATCACTACTTATAGTATACTATATGTTACACGGTAGCTCCACGGTATTATGTTATGCTGTCTTATTTATTGTTATTGATAATTATAATAACACCATGACAGCGATGATAAAAGAAGTCAATACGAAAAATATTTTTCTTGCAGATACTCAGCTTATCAATTTTTTTTCCCCTTTTCCTTATTCTCGGTCCTTTTCCGGGCCCTGTTCTGATGTCTGATGCGTTTGTTTGAAAAATGACGACACGTGCCATACATTATTAAGCCATCAATCAATCATTCCGGACAAAAACAAGAGAGAGAGAGAGAGATGGGGCGATGGGGGGGGGGGGGCTTACCTATGATTCAAAAGCTCCTCGTTGAAGAATATTATGAATAAATCGATCCTCTGTTAAAAACACATATAATCCATTGTTCTGTTTCGCGTATTTTAAACTCTCCGTGAATCCGTTCTTAAATAACCAGCAGTATGCGTAGATCACCAGAAGTGTCTCATCACAAACTTGACGTTGAAATACAACTCCGTTATGTATCCAGACCTACTTACATGCACTACTAATCTTAAGGGGGTTCTACTCCAATTTGTAATGTTCACTGAATACAAAAGATAATCACACGTTCTTCTTCAAAAGATCCCTGCACTTTACTCCTATACACATCCACACTAAGATATGCATTTGCTTTCATTTGGGTCGTTTCATAATCCCTACCTACATCTTTTTATCAAAAGCTTTAGACCTTTTTTGTCCCAGGCGAGACAGCAGAGAGCATTTACCTCTCCCGTCACAACAAAGAAAAAGAGGACAAAGGCCTCCAATAACAGCAGGTAGGCCAGGCCTCGAAATTTAATACCTCGCATACGACAAGTGCGAAAAGTGTTATCATTTACTCCTCCGTACAATGGTATCTTGAGTAAAGAAGTATTTATCTATAGGAAGCACTATGTCAATGTACCTATCCTTAAAACAATAGACAGACAATCAGTAGTTTAATCCAGATTAAATTCGATTAACACGATACCTTGGGAAGATTAAAGATTAAAGGGAACACTAGGTTTTACACCTCCTAATAATGCTCTCTAATAGTTCTACTCCTTTTAACAATAAAGGCACACAGACCTATTAACGCGACTAAATATACACCAGGAATATTTCAGAGAACATTAATTTTCAAAAGAGGTCTTGTGCCGGTTGATTTCTTTGTCTGCGATATCACCTAAGGTGGAAGCGGACGAACGGTTGATTCTTTAAAGATACAAATCTTGAAAAAAGTCTTGAATTGACTTGTTATATCGATTGTGATGAGGACAAATCTGTACGATAAAATTTCTAAATAAGTCAGTTCATTTTTAATTTTTTTTTAACTGTCGCCAGTGGAAAACAAATTCGTGTATATCTCAACGTTGTCTCCTTCTGTGAACCTATACAAATTTAAATTTAGATGTATACACAGTTCGCAACGAACATCAACGCATCAAATACAATTAAATTATAAAGAAATATCAGTACTCGCTACAATAGTTTAAATATAGATAATGGAAAAGAAATACATTGAAAATTTCAGTAAAATTACTTCATTCTGAGCAAAGTTATGAACGTTTGAAGAATAGCGTATGGTCTCGATTTTCATTGCTATCCATTTTTAGTTTGGTGATCGTTTTCAATCCTTTCAAAATTATAACCATGGTCTAGAAAGTTGATTATGGGCTTGTCATGTCTAATTCATGTAACATTTGGGGTCAAAAGAAAGATCTACAATATGCATATTCAGCTCTTACATAATGCGCCTTTAAAAGTGTGTCGTGTGTTGTTAGTTTTACTTACCTTTTCTTGATTGGTCGTTCTCGTATCTTGCTTTTTTTACTTACCGTCTCTTATCGTTATTGTGTCCTGTTGGTTTTATCTAATCCTTTTGTACTTACCGAAATTACTAACCTTATATTGGAGATGAGATTTTAACTAATCGCAACATTGGGCGTATGCAGTTTTTTGTTTGTATTTTAAGCCTTTATAATTTATAATCATAATTTTAAATAATGTACAGGTATTTTATTTCTGTAAAAATGCCTTGCGAGAGATAAATTTATATAGCCCCGGATTGTTTTCAGATCCCTTATTTATATGCTGTATCTTATTCTGCGTTGAAGGGGAAAGTTTATCGGGATTTTCGGGTGTGATTCCCTCATGTCAATGGTGCAAGATTGGCAAGCGACAACGACACCAAACAACCTCATACTAGGTAGAAGGGTCACAATTCTAAATTTGTTTAATGTTCAATCTAACCACGTAAAGCATCAATGAAGACTTTAAAATTAGAAATAACATGAAATAAAATAAAGATAGCAAGTTTAGAAGCTCCATTTACGAGGAACAATGAAACAGTCAGAATAAACATTGTCTTAAATAGAAATTACATGAATCGAATTCCCATGTATACATTGGCGTGCACGTAAAAGATCCCTTGACAGTTGAATTTCGATATAAGAGTAGGCCGTAGTGACGCTGTCCGGGCAAATATTCTTCATAACACACTGTATGGCGTATGCCCGTCTTCATTTGCCTAATCAGAACAGAACAGTGGGACGTTAAACCCCATTTTATTTCATTGCATCTTTATCAATCTGATTAACTCAACTAATCTCTGTTTGGGAAAAGAAATTAAATAGCGTTTATTTGAATTAAAACACGGATGCTACATGTAAATAGGTATAATGTTATACCAAGCTAGACGAATCTCAAGTAGTTACTAAAACAAAAATTTCAGGTGCATGTTTTCTTCGAATTCTGTGCCGAATCAAATTTTCACAGTAAACTTTAAAAGCAAAGGGAAAATAAATTAAATAGCGTTTATTTGAATTAAAAACACGGATGCTAAATAGGTAATGTTGTCTAGATGAATCTCAAGTAGTTACCAAAACAAAGATTTCAGGTGCATGTTGTCTTCGAATTCTGTGCCGAATCAAATTTTCACAGTAAACTTTGAAAGCAAATAGACGCTTGCACACAAATTTAACAGAACAAAACTACTAAAGAATAAAGAAAAAGAACAACAAAAAATAATATTGGAGAGGGGTCAGCGAAACTGTTTCATGTGAATGCTTTAGCTGCCTTTCTAGAACAAAGCCCTCAATTTACTGATGGAAAGAATTAAACAAAATGCATGTTGTTAACATAGTTTCACGGACAAGGTCAGGAAAATTTGTAAAAACTTAGAGAAAGGAAATATGGAGGTGGTTAGTCAATGGATTTGAATCTTTGACCATGTAGAGGTAGTGTTTAGGTAGTAAATATTACATAATCTTGTCAAATAGCATCGTGTGTTTGTTTATTCCCACTTGTTATCATTGTGTAGGCGATGTCAGCAGGGTAATCTTCAGTCACCCACATTACTCATCATACCCCGAAGGCTTATAAAATACCCTTTTTAATATGACCATACTGAGCATATTGTGTAACCATTTTTCTATGTTAGGCGGATATATTAATATATTTATAGTGTTAGTAGTTTCTAGTGTCAATATTTCTATAATGTTAACCTTGCCAATATTTTCTAGTGTTAGTCAATCGTATAAATATTTCTATATAAAATATATTAGCCATGCCAGTATTTTCTAGTGTAAAGCATGCTAATACTTCTATATATTAGCCATGCCAATAGTTTCTTGTGTTAGCCAAGTTTAATATTTCTATAATGTTACTATTGTTAGCAATGCCAGTATTTGCTAGTGTTAGCCAAGCTTATCAACATTTATATTATGTTAACCATGACAACAGTTTGTAGTATTCTTTTGCAAAACAGTGGGATAATTATTTTCAGGTATAACAATTAGATCTCTGAAATGTTTCATTTATCATAACAAGAGGGTTATGGTACAGATGTTAACTGTAGAAATGAATAACCTATAAACTGGATGTGTTGTCATATCTATAAAGGAAAATCATATTACAAAAAAAAGTATATACCCGGCCGACGGATTATCTCATATTCATAATAGTAAATAAATCATTAAAAACGTTTATAAATATATTAGCATATCGATATTTGTAAAAGAATAAAAACAATTTAATGGGTAAAATATACATGTATGTTTATTAAAATAATGAAAGT